TGGACAGGAAAGTTACTCTGGCCAATATGGCAGCTCTGTCTTCTGGTGCAAGTTGGGTGATAGGAGCTAGAGGTGCTAGAATGTGGGCTGACACTTCTCACAGAAATCTAACTGGGAGAAGTGGTTCCGGAACTCAGGGTAGAGGTACTGGTTCTCTGGCAGCCCGGCTTCAAGGACTCAAGTACTTGGGGGATTCAAGAGACAGCCGAGGAAGATGGCCCCATAATGCTTATCTAGGGTGGGTGCAAAGGCCTCATTCAGTCCAAGGGCTTTGGGCTTTCCTGGGGACCCACACTGATGGGCAGGAAAACCCTGGTTGGCCCCAGACTTTGCATAAACTAAGTTTGACACTCGTCTTGGTAATGTATGTCTTAACCCATCTCTAACTCCTGCAGTGATGTCATTTTGCTCAGTTGTGTTGAGGGGCAAGTTTCTTTCCAATGCAGTCAGTGTAGACACCCAGAGATACGTGTCCACACACCCTACTATGCTTGACTTTTTCCAGTGAGCTGCTTGGTGGAGCAGCTGTAACACCAGACACAAGGTGCTGTGAACCTGTGCCCAGCTCCCCAGAGGGAGCAGTGGAAGATGCTGGAGGAAGACCAAGCACTATGCTGGGGGTCTGGTCTTCAGGCCTCCAAAATGAGAATAGCAGGGATAATAAAGCGGAGAACATAGGAATAACAGCATTTATTGATCACCCTATGGCAAGGATTACATAATCCCACCACAGTTGTGGGCAGAGATTACTGTCGTTTTCACCATCCTCATTCTATAGAAACAGTTAGGGATAAAGTCACAAGTTGGGTGCTAGTAAGTGGCAGAGCTCAGGCCACCAACCTGGACTCCCTTGTTTACCAAACAACCCTTTTGGGCTGTGAGGTTACAGAGCAGCTTGCTGAGAACAGAAAGCTGGATCTGATTCTCCCGGCTACTTGTGGCCGAGAAAGCAGTCCTTGCCTCGATTTGTCCAAATTGATCTTTGCATAGGACTTTCTCCAGCAGGAATCCCTTCTTCAACATTCTTGCTCCCTTTCCAGTTCCCCAAGGGCTAGGAAGCCCTCCCCCCCACCCGGTCCTCCAAGGTCCTCGGCCACCTCACTTCCCAGCACAGAAGGTCTTCTGGGCCACTGGCTGAAGTCTTGAGCCAAGCCAAGAAGCAACTGCTTAGACAGCAGGGTAGGAGAGACCCAGAGCACCCCCCACCCATCCTCAAGCCAACTCCAGGCAGCTCAGCCTTCCTACTGCCTGAGGTCTAGGGCAGCTCAGGGCTGCTGTAAATTTGCTTCTCCTTGGATTTTCAATCTGAATTGGCTGCCAGGAAGAATCCATGGAACAGAGCCTGCCTCCACCCCCGCTATCCTCCGGTCACAACTGTCCCTTTTCAGCCCCTGCCTCAGTTGCTGCGTGCACAGGAAGTGGAGAGAGGCCTCGCAAACCCCCCAGATCCCAGAACTAGGTTGCGCAGGCATGGTTCCAGCAAGCACTCTGAGGGTGAATGGCTTACTTCCCCCACCAGGTCAACCTCTGGCTGAGGTGTTTGGAGTGGAGGGACTACATAACACAAGCCACACATAAGTGATGATCATAAACAGGAAACATGCTGGGTGCCTGGTGAGCCCCAAAGTGAACAAGACCTGGCATACACTATCCTTTGCTCTCCTCCGATTAACAGGGCACCTCTCCTGCATGACCCCTGAGAATGCCATTCCCATCAGAGTCTGTATGAATGGCACCCCCTGGAGCTGTGCAGTACTCAACCTTGACAGCTGTGCATGGTGGCCTACCAGTGACAGACCTACCAGTGGGTAAGGATGGCAGCACAGTAGGAGACAACTTCCTGCTGGGGGATTAGGGAAGGTTTCAAAGGGGAGGTAATGCTTAGGTTTGGTCTTTGAAGAACAAGTGAAAGAGAGTGGTAGGGTGGAAAGGTACAGGGTGGGCAAAGGTACAGGGTGAGCTGGAAGCAATCTTAACTCTTGCGATGAAGGGAGTGGGAATGAGCAAAGTGGGTGGCCAGGCTGGAGAGGCAGGTAGGTGGCAGAGCACAGAGAGTCTTAGCTCTGAGGCAACCAGGAGCCATTGCAGGCTATGTAATTGAAAAGGTAATCCAGTAGCAGGGTTGGGGACTAACTGGAGGGATCAGTGAGGAGACCCTCTGCAGCGGTCTAGGACTGGGTCAGCACCATGCCAGAGGAATGCAAGCAGGCATACGAGAGGGCACTGGGTAGGGGGTGGTGGGCATTGGATGGGGAGCCCCAGGTAGCTTCCTATTTTCCTCCTGCTCAGGGTCACCTGAAAAGGAGAGACAGGTGGACTCTGCTGGGCAGTATCCAAGAGCATCTGGGGTGGAGTCCTCCAAACCAGCCTCTGCCCTCCTAACAGAATTACACAATTTAGGGAGTGGGTGTTGGCTGGACCAAGATCCTTTCCTCTACCCTCTCTCCCAAGCTACAATCACAGATTTCTCTCCAAAAGCCACAGAGGATGAGCCAGCACCACCGCTGTCCAGCAGGTCCCAGCACCATCTCCTTTCCTTTCAAAAGGCAGGGACCTCTGACAAGTTGCTGTTAGAGAGGAGGGAGGAGCAGGTCCCACAGCCCATGAGGCTCATCTTCTCCTCCCTCTCCTCAGTCAGTCTACACTCCCCCCTCTTCTGTCCCTGGTTCCCTCTTCATGGTCAGGTCAGGGCAGTGACGCAGGAGTCAGGGGACTGGGAGAGCAGAGCCTGGGGGTGGGAGGTTTGGGAGAGAACATATGTGCGGACGTGTGTGGACGTGAGTGTGCATGTGCTCGTCTCACAGCTGGGATCTGGGAAGGGAGCAGGACTGGGCTCGGAGGGCCAAGAGGGGCTGGGAGTCCGCCCGGTGCTGAGAGGGAAACTGGGACCAGAGGGCACAGTGCGAGTGCAGACTGACATCCAGTGCACCGGGATCGAGGGGGCTCCCAGAGTAGTCTTGAGGGGAGCTGAGGGCAGAGGAGCAGGGTGGGAAAGAGGCAGGCCCTCAATGCCTCCACCGGAAACACACCAACCTCCCCATCTTTCTGAACCCCTTTGATCCTGGTCTCCCCCCTACCCTTACCTAATTCAGGTCTTCATTCAGTTCCTCTTCTCAGCGTGCACCCCTGCCTGATCTAAAACTGCAGCCCTTATGGACAATAATGGCAGGGGGTGGGGGGAGTGGAAACAGGGGAGGGAGGTGAGGAGGTCTGGGGTGGGGAGGAAGGGTGGGGGGAAAAGGCAAAAAACTAGAACAACAATAAAAAAAATTAAAATAAAACTGCAATCTTTTCTAATGCTCCTGGTCCCCTTCTGTGCCTGTTCTCAGTCCTCACTGCCGTTGGACATCCTCTCTTTTACACATATTTGTTTGTCCCCTGCCTCTCTACTGAAATGTCAGCTCCACCAGGGCAGGTGCACAGGACTGTTTCATTCACTGCTTTCTCCCCAGGTTCTTGAATGAATGAATGAGTGAATGTTCATTTCTTGAAGAAACAAATAGTTCTTGAATAAATGAATGAGTGAATGAACACTTCCCACTCTTTGCAAACAGAAGCCAGATTTTGCAGCGTCATTCAAGGCCCTTCACAACCTGACCCCTCCTTAACCAGCACTCTGGCCCGATCCCAGCCTCTCCTTTTCATACCCTACACACCTGACCCCCCTTTCACTTTGCTGAATTGGCCTCTCACACCAACCTCACATCTCTTCCCGTTGAAGTGCTACCTGCCCTTCGGGGCTGAGTTGTCACCCTCTCCATCAAAGCTTCCTTGACTTCTCCAGCTAGAGGAGCTCTCCCTCTTCCAAACTCTGACAGCTCAGCCCTGGGCACTACAGCCCTCACACTTTGCCCCGTGCCCACCTCTCATCTCCATGGTAAGCTACTAAATCCATCCAGGAGACAGGAGCCAGGTCTCAACATATCTTTTCATCTGGCTAAGTGTGTAGTCAAGGGTCTTGCCCAGAGAAGGCACTAAACACATGAATAAAATATGTCTAATCTCATGGGACTGGGTAGGGAGTGAAGGAGTACATACAACTACCTGTATTTGTAGGACTTTGCTGCTGTCTTATGAAACCTGTATGAGGGGGGACTGGTGCTTTCATCATACCCATTTGATAGGTGAGGACACTGAGGCTCAGGGGCTAAGGCTATTTTCCAACTTTTGAAAGCCAGCTAGCCTTGGTCTCTTGCTTTAGGGGTCTTGCTCCTCTGCCTCAGGGCCTCCTAGAAGCCTCAAAGGCTTAGCTGCAAATTCTAACTACCTTCACTCTGGGAGTTATCTCCATTTCAGAGTTTGTAAGAATTCTGCCATGCAGGCTAACCTGTATCACAAAGAAACAGATGTCAAGGTGGACGTATGTCCTGAACAGTGTATCATGTGCTCTGTGCCCTAACAGTCCAATTTCTGGGTTTCCAGGGTCCTAGGAAGTGAGGATTGTGGGGGGAGAAGAAGACCCCCACACTTCTTTGATGTGGACCCCCGTCAGTATGGGAGTCTTCAGTATGATGCTCTGTGCACCCCCGTCAAATTCCTCAACGTGAACAGCACTGGTTTTAGGACAGACAAGTACAGGGGCTGCGAAAAAGGAAGGCAACTGACTTGCCCCTGACAGTACCTTCCCGGCTTCCAAATCCAGCGCTCTCGCAGGAACCTAGGCACTTCCAGTTCTGAGCCCCCGCCCAAGCCCCGATGCCTCTCAAGGAGGCGTCGGAGTCCCCAGCCTTCCCCAGAGAGGCTCTCCTCTACCAGGCGCAGGCGCCCAGCTGCACCTCCAGGGGCAGGCGGGCAGAGCGGTGTCCCTGCACCCTGGCCTGCCGCCGCTCCCGCCCCGGCGATCCTGCGACCCAGGCGTCCTGCCCCCTGCTCTGACCTCCTGGCCCCCACTTCGGGCGACCCCTCACGCACACAGCCTCCCCACTCCCACACACGCACGCACACATGCTGATAACAGCCCCGACCCCCGGCCGCAGCCGCAGTCCCCGGGCCAACACCGGTCAGCTGCCTCGCCGTGCGTCCTCCCGGACGCTGGTCCTGCGCTTGCTCGGCCCGACCCTCGGCTCGGCAGCCCCTGGACGGTGGCCCCCTCCTCTGGCCTGTGGAGTGGACCTGCCCCACCGAGCTTGCGAGGATGAGGGCTCGGGGTGCGGACACCGGGCGAGCCCCCGGTCACTGAGCGGCCAGGCGGGGCGCGGAGGAGATGGGGGTGCGCGGTGAGTGCTAGCCCGCAGGGGAGCTCCCGACCCGGCCCCTGTTTGAGAAGGGATTTACCGCTAGGACTGTTGGCCCGGAGGTGACTGAGTTCAAGGACCAGCGACTTGCAGAGGGACCCCGGAAGGGCAAGGGGGTGGGGCTGCCTCCACGTGCTTTGGGAGTCCCCGGGAAAGGCAGTGTGTGACCTGGAGCCGGGGACGAGGTTTGGGGGTTCGGTGAAAAGAAGGGCTGCTGTGCGGGTTGGGAGGAAGTTGATACCTGGGTCCTGGAGCAACCCCCGGGGGGCCGCGAGAGGCGAAGCCTCTGTTCCTGCCGGATTGAAGTTTGGCCCCGACGAGTGGAGCCGGTAGCTGGGGGGTGGGGTGTGCGCTCGGCAGCAGGATTGAATGAAGTCAAAGGAGGCAGAACCTGAGCTCTGGGAAGGTTGGGGCTGGGAGGACTGGCCCAGGCGGGATGTGTGAGTCTGCCCCTCCGGACCAACCCTTCTCCTTCCGTTCCCGCCTCACACCAAGTCTGGCTCTGTTTTCTAGAATGTCCTGCCCTGCTGCTCCTGCTGTCCTTGCTGCTGCTTCCTCTGGGCCTCCCAGTCTTGGGCGCCCCCGCACGCCTCATCTGTGACAGCCGAGTCCTAGAGCGGTACATCCTGGAGGCCCGGGAGGCTGAAAATGTGACGGTGAGGCCCCCTCCCCAGGACATTCCACAGGATTCACTCTCAGGGACTCGGGGCTTTCCTCCAAGATCCAGGAACCTGGCGATTGGTTCAGGCCTGGAGGTGGGAAGCCAGAGCCCCCAGTAAAAATGATAAAAACCGGTAACCCCTAATGCACATCTGGGAGTTAGGTAAGGGACACAGCTGGAGGGCCTATGGCCTGTGGGCTAGTCTGGGAGCCCTTGGGGGCCTGACTCCCTGGGGTTGTGCTTTCAGATGGGCTGTGCTGAAGCCTGCAACTTCAGTGAGAATGTCACGGTCCCAGACACCAAGGTTAACTTCTACGCCTGGAAGAGGATGGAGGTGAGTTTATTTTTTCCTTGCTTTTGGGGAGTCTCATTTTGAGAACCTGACAGGGTGGGAGGGAAAATGACAGAGATAGGAAAAAAATGGAGCAACAAAGATGAGGACTGAACGGAATATGTTCATTCATTTGTTTGTTCATTCATTCATTCCGCAAGCCTTATTGCATGCCTTCTGTTGTTTGCTCAGCTTTGTGCTCGGAGCTGCTGAGACGGGTGAGGAAGGGGCTGGCTTGGGCCAGCTGACTTTGAGTCTCTGCTCCCTCTAGGTTGAGCAGCAGGCCCTGGAAGTCTGGCAGGGCCTGGCCCTGCTCTCAGAAGCCATTCTTCGGAGTCAGGCCCTGCTGGCCAACTCCTCCCAGCCATCTGAGACCCTGCAGCTGCATGTGGACAAAGCCATCAGCAGCCTGCGCAGCCTCACCTCCCTGCTTCGGGCGCTGGGAGCCCAGGTGAGTAGAAACAGATCTTCCCTCACACTCCGTTTGCTCTTTCTGTAAAATGGGAGACGGGCCCTGCCAAGGAATACTCTGGCTTTCCTCATAGCCCCTCTAATTCTGTCTTGAATCCCTTCTCCCTTCAGGGTCCCTGGTACCGCAATCATCTTCTGTTTTCTCCTTCACAGAAGGAAGCCATCTCCCCTCCAGACACAACAGCCTCCGCTGCTCCACTCCGAACATTCGACGTTGACACTTTGTGCAAACTTTTCCGAATCTACTCCAATTTTCTGCGCGGAAAGCTGAAGCTGTACACAGGGGAGGCCTGCAGGAGAAGGGACAGGTGACCAGATGCTCCCAGCCTGGGCACACCCACCGCCTTGCTCACCACTCCTGCCCATGCCACGCCTTCCACACCACCACTCCCGACTCCCATAAAGGGGCCATCAGCTCAGCACCAGCCTGACCCATGGACACTCCAGGGCCAGTGGTGACATCTTAGGGGCCAGAGGAACTGTCCAGAGTTCAGCTCAGATCTAAGGATGTCACAGGGCCAGTCAGAGGCCCTGAAGCAGGGAGAATTCAGAGATCAGCTTAAACTCAGGACGGTGCCATGTTGGAGAGACACCGAACTCATCTCGGTGCCCTGCAGAACTGTGATGTCAGGACAAGCTGGAAGGCAAATTCCTCTTCCCACACCTTACCTAGCAGGGACAGGATGGACTGGAGGATTTAGGTGGCAAGCCATGAATTCTCTAGGCCTCAGGGGGACCCCATGACAGCAAGAGCCCCCTGGACAATCAATGAAGGTGGTGGGAGCTGTGAAGATGGGATGGGGGCTCGCCCCTGGCTCTCATGGGGTCCAAGTTTTGTATATTTTTTAGTCTCACTGGCAAGAACTAAAACCATAACATGGCTCTTGGTTTTTATGTTTTCCGACAAGCTCCCCATTTTCCTGGCTCTGCCCCCATCATGGCAGCAGGCAGCAGGCCACAGGCCTGGGAAACCAGAGGTGGAGGGGGTCGGACCCTACGTGCTGCCTTGCACAGCCTGTCTGACCTCCTGACCCACTGGGCGTGAGGCCACAAGCTCTGCCCACGCTGGTCAATAATGTGGCTCCATTCAAGGCTACTCCTCAGTAGACTTCTACCAACACTATCCTGCCTCTTCTCTGTGGCCCCTTCGGCTAATGCCACATTCCCAGCATCAGCCTCTGCCACCTCAGTGCACCAAGCCTCTTTAAATCCAGCTTGCCTCTTTCCTTGCCTGGGGGTGGTCACCATAAATGTTCTGCCCTGAGACTGCAGAGGGGCAGTAGACAGCAGAGCAGAAGGAGCCGCCTTCTCAGACAGCCAACTCACGGAGCACTCACTCTGTGCCCAGTGCTTCTCTAGGTTGCTCACTTCTGTGGCCTCGCATTACTCTTCACACAGCCCTTTGAGAAAGTTACCACTGTTGCTCCCATTGTGCTTATTTTCCTGCCACACTACTCCTACCTGCTCCCCAATCCCCTGGGATGGGGCACACAGAGCAAACCAGCTCAACCTTCATTCCCAATCCTTACTTCTTATCTGATCCTTTACTCTGACAACCAACTTTAACTTCATTCCCAGAAGTGCTTCCAGGGGCAAAGCAGTGCCCAAGAGAGACCTGTGCAGACAGCAAAAAAATGTCATAAAACTAGCTGGACTCCAGTCCTGGCCATTATCTATCTACACAGGGGGATCAGTCTTTCTGCTTACATCGCAAAACTTAGGGAAGTCAGCCTGTGCCTCTGCAAATGTGCAAAAGGGAGACAATGTTTTGCCATTTGCGGCAGGAAAAATTATGGGCAGGTTTGGGGGTTGGAGAGTATTTGCCAACTATATGTGGGGGGAAGGGTCAAGCTGTGGTGGGAGGAGGAAACCAAGGGGTGGACCCTAGATGAAGCTTTACTCTGGCCCAACCCGACTCCTGGCCTAGACTGCCCTCTTCAGGCCCTTTTAGGAAATGCTAGGGAAATCTACAAGCCACAGAACCCTGAAAGTTTGGACATCACACATTTCAATAAAAGTTTGTATTGTGATTTCCACATGTGGCGTCTGTTTTTTGCCCCACTGCTGTGACTAAGTAAGGAAAGAATCTCTATTTCTTGCTGGTGGAATGGAAGCTAAGAGATTTGTTCTGGATCCCAAGGAATCTAAATAATAAATGACAGCTAAGACCTGACCTCCAGACTTAGGACTCATAACTCCAAAACCTTGTCCACCTCTTTTTTAGCCTGATTTGCTGCCTGCACATCCCCCTGGCTCTTTCATCCCCAGAATTCAGGGCCACCGATCTTCTTTTCAGACTTACTACTGCTTTCAATTAAACAAAAAGTAATTAATGGTACCTGAACTATGCGACCTGGGCCAGGTGTAGTGGGCGAATATGTTAAGAACACTAAAACATAATTCATTTATTCCACATTTATGGAGTGCCAACTGTGAGCTACCCTTTGCACCAAGTGCTAGTGAAATGACAGCCTGTGCTACCCACAGCCCAGCAGTCCCCAGCAGCCAAAAGACAGGAGCTCACCATTTTAGCCATAGTCTGCTCGGCATGTGACTTGAGTGCCGAGATGGGGGTAACCAGAGGCCCAGCATGTGACGCACTTGGTGAGGACCCGAGTTTCTGTGCAGTGACAGATATGCAAGGAGGGCCCTTGCTTCTAGAGCAGGCCAGGAGTGTGAACTTCATTCTGTATTACCGTTGTTATGATTAGCAATACATTAAGCTCTGTGCTGGGGTTCCCACCACGACTCCGTGAAGTAGGAGGACAATGGGTACCACCTCCATTTGCCAAACGGGAAACTAAAACTAAGTTCTGCCAAGTAAGTGATGGAACCGGCTCTTTGGGCTTCCTGGCGGCGAGGCAGAAGCCAGCGCAACCCAGGTCTGAATCAGCAGGTTACATAACAGTTTAATGGAGATGACTTCTGTTTGTAGAGGGCTTTTCAATTTACAGGGTACTTTCCTGGGCATCTCTCATTTGCTCTCCTAACCCCACGAGGAAGGCAGAGGCAGGAGAGGATCCTTACGTTGCAGAAGAGGAAACCAAGGTCCAGAGAGTTTATGGGCCTTGCCCAGGTCATAAGATACAGAGGAAGGGCCAGGATCAGAAACCAGGCTCTCTGATTCCGAGCCCCTTTTATACCAAAAGCACACATCATTGGGGCAGAGGAGACAGTTAGAGGGAGTGGGTGGAAGGGAGAAAACAGCATTAGGCAGCTCCATCTTTCACTACCACTCCTGCCCACTCCATTCTCTGCCTCGGGCTCCCGCTTCCTCCCTGAATAGGTGGAAAGTGCCTCCACTCTCCCCATCGCCAGTCTCCCAGCGCCAGAGGCCAACTCAGCTGCCCGCTACAGCCCCAGCTCCCACCTTGAAAGCAGCCTTTTGGCCTTGGGTACTACTGGCCTGAATCCTCTCCCTGGGCCTGAGCATCAGGCTGACCAGATGCACCTGCCTGACCCCAGCTCACAGGCTGCCTAGGATTTTTCTGCAACTGCTCAGTCCACAAGTTTCACCAGAGCAGGGGTTTATAGCTGGAGTTGAGTTAGCTCAATGGTGTCTCTTAGACATTGGACTCTAAGCTGAAAGTTACCTACTGTATATTATTTCCAGCTGGTCAAATCTAATGCCTCTAAGATTCCATCATAAAACTGCGACATCGTGAAAGATTATTAGCAACAGGAAAACAGATAGCAGTATGTTTTCCCAACTTATGTGAGTCATGCCCAAATGTCTATAAACTCCCTTCGCGACTAAAAAAATTGATTATTAAGAAATTATTTGACACAGAATTTTAAAAAATATTTTATTTATTTATTTTTAGTGAAAGGGGAAAGAGAGGGAGAGTAACATCAATGTGTGGTTGCCTCTCATGTGTCCTGTACTGGGGACCTGGCTTGCAACCCAGGCATGTGCCCTGACTGGGAATCGAACCGACGACCCTTTGCTTCACAGGCCCGTGCTCAGTCCACTGAGCTACACCAGCCAGGGCTTGACACATAATTTTTTACTTTAAAATCTTTGGCCGTGCTAATCTCTCCTCTCCATCTTGCAGAGGAGGACAGTGAGGCCCAGAGAGGGTGACCAAAGTGCGCAAGGGCACACGGTGATGCCAGGACTGACTCCAGTTCTCTGAAGTAGTAATTCCCAGGGGCTTTCTACATCCCAGGGTCTCTCACACCTATTCCTGGAGCTTCCAGTCTTGTCAGGTGACAAACCCGCCAAAGTCTCACCTGGTCCTGACTCCCCAAAATGCAGAGCCCAATAGTTCCCTCCCAGCACCATCATCCACCTCTTCCTGTCCTGCCTGAGCACCCAACCCCCACCTCCAGGCAGGCTGGAAGTCGTGACTGTTCAGATGGGTGGTGCCAAAGGGAGGTCAGCAAAAGTAGCTCCCTGAGGCCTTATTGCCCAACCAGGAGGGTCTGTGGATCAATTGGCTTCTGCTGTTTTTCCCTAGGTTAACCATTTCCTGGCTTTGTCCCTCTATTGACTGCTTTGCTAGCTTGTTCTGGAGGACAGGCAGAGCAGCGTCTGAGAGGGGACATCCTTTATATCCCTAGGTTTGATGTAGAGGGCAGAGGATTGCTCTCTCACTGGGTCTAATTCCTATGTGGGTCCTGTTGATGCTCATTTGGGCACAGGAGTCACTGAGACAGTAAAAGGGGCTTGTAGACTTCCATCTTAGACTCCTGGTTCTCAACTTCACTGGCCCCTCCCTGACAGCCCACAGGAATGGCCTGCGTAGGCATCACTGTCACTTGTCTGAAGCCCTGGGCATAGATTTGGTAGTAGGGGGTGGGAGTTTGCTGAGGTAAAGGGAATGACACTGGACGTTTCTAAGAGCAGGAGTGTAGTGGGATGTAGGAAAGCTGGACTCACCACAGCTCAGCTCGCTGTGGGCCAGCCCTGCAGCCTACCTGCAGCTCTGCATGCGCAATGAGTCAACAGGGATTTTAAAAGCTGCAAACCACCCTTTCAGCTTCAGTCTTGTGTAGAATTGCCACTTATGAAAACTATAAAAGCATAGCTGCTCTGGCTGGGGTTGAGTCCCCTATTTGGTTACCCTCCACAACTCCCAAGGGTCTCCTCACGGGACTGTGGGACTGGGCAGGACATGGTGTGGGGACAGTCAGTGCAATGCTTTCATGCTGGGCAATTGACTTCATCCCTCCCGAGCTCAGTTTCCGCACATGGAAAATGAGGACACGGTCTTTGTTATCAACAGGACATGAAGTTCAGTTAGGTTAGCCTGAAAGAGTTGCTGTTTCCAGCTCCATCTACATCAACACCCATATGCACCTTCCGCAATCTCCTCTCCTGTCTCCCAGGCTCTGGCCAGCCGCTCTTTGATTTGGTGGCCCCCCACCACACCCCCAGCAGCCTTTTGAAAATGCAAGTGACCTGATAGTCATTCCCATTGCTTAAAAACGTTTGGTGGTTCCTCGAAGCTGTGGTATTTAAGATCTCCTACACAGGGTTCCTGCCTTCTAGTCTTACACACACACACACACACACACACACACACACCAACTACTGCTCTCCAAAAGTGCCATGCTCTCTCCAATCTTATAACATTCCCTCTTCTTGGAAAGTGCCTTCCCAACTTCTTTGCCTAATTACCTTTTTTTTTTTTTTTTTGTCATTTAGAAAGCCCCTCCATCATCACCTTCTGCAGGAACCTTCCCTAACCAGCAGTGACCTGGGTCAAAGGCTCCTTGAAGCACTGATCTATCTGCCAGCCAGAGGAATGCACTGTTGTAAAGTGCGGCAGAAGGTGGGAAGAGTGGATAGAGGAGAGGGCTGGCATCGCCAAGCAGGAAGGTGGGGACGAGCTGGGTGCGGGCAGGACGGTGTGCTTGTATGAGAGGGACGCCACCGTGGCCTTCCTGTGACCGAGGACTTCTCCTGCTTCGCAGATGAAACAGAAGCCACTAGATATGCACCTGCAGGGTCCCTTCCCCACTCCCTTCATAGAGCTCGTTGTCCCTCCTGCTGCCTGTGTTCTAGACTTTTCCCAACCATTTTCTCAGAGGCCTTTTTCATCTCTCTCACTGCTGCACCCTTGCCGTGTGCATTTACATGGCTCAGATTTCTCTTATCTTGAAAGCACCCTACTTTGCCCCAATTTTTGCACTTACTCTCCACCTCTTCTTTAGATGGCCAAGCAGCTTTTTTTAACAAGGATTTTTACTTATTTACTTTTTAGAGAGGGGGAAGGGAGGGAGAAAGAGAGGGAGTGAAACATCAGTGTAGGGTTGCCTCTCATGTGCCCTCTACTGGGGACCTAGCCTGCAACCCAGGCATGTGCCTTAACTGGGATTTGAACTGGCCACCCTTTGGTTTGCAGGCTTGTGCTGAATCCACTGAGCCACACCAGCCAGGGCAAGATGGCCAAACAGCTTTAAAATATTGTCCCTGCCTCCTTCTTGGATCCTGTTCTTCAACTTTCACTCCTCCTCTGATCCTTTAGTCTGGCTTCCTTCCAGCCAGGCCCCTCAAATGACTCTCACTAAGGTGTCTATAGCAAAGCAGATCCACGCACAGGAACACCTGGATGCGTAACTATGCAGAAGACATGAAAACTTCGCCCACCCCTCCATAGGGGTCACCCTGTAAACAGCTTGCTGTGTGTTCTGCTAGTTCCATCCCTGCACCTCAACCTGAATATGACATAAACACATACCCTTGTTCTGGAATGTTACATAAATGGGGTCACATGTAACATTTTTTCTGTTCACCTCTTTTGTGCAATATATCTCTAGGTGGTCTTTCCACCATTGGACTCTATGGAGCTACCGCCATTCTTTTCTCTTTTTTTAAGTCAGGAATAAACTCTAATAGTATCATATTATCAAGTAGTACTTTTTAAAAATTACTTCTTAAAATTGTGTTGAAATACACATAATATTTATTGTCTTAACCATTTTAAGTGTATATTTCAGTGGCATTAAATCCATTTACATTCTCTTTTTTAATTTAAGATTTTATTTATTTTTTAGAGAGAGGGAAAGGGAGGGAGAAAGAGAGGGGGAGAAATATCTATCAGTTGTCCCCCCCAACCGGGGACCTGGCCCACAACCCAGGCATGTGTCCTGACTGGGAATCAAACAGTGCCCTTTTGGTTTGCAGGACGATGCCCAGCCCGCTGAGCTGCACCAATCAAAGCAAATACATTAGCATTCTTTGTACAACCCATTGCCATAATCCAATTCTAGAACTTTCATCTTGTAAAGCTGAAACTTTATACCCATTACACACTAACTCCCCATCACCCACTCCCCCTAACCCTGGCAACCTCCTTTCTAGTCCCCGTCACCATGAATTTGCGGAGGCTGGGTGTCTCACATGAGAACGGTCCTGCTGCGTTCATCTTTCAGTAACAGACATATTTCAGTTTAGCATGATGTCCTCAAATATCGTAGCATGTGTCAGAGCTTTCCTCCCTTTTAAGGCTGAAAATATTCCCCTGTGTGTATAGACTGCCTTTTGTTTATCCATTCATCTATCAGTTGCTTGGGTTGCTTCCACCTTTTGGCTGTTTGTGAATAAGCTGCCATTTGGCTATACAAATATGTGTTCAAGTCCCTGCTTTCACTGTTTTCAATTCCAGAAGTGGAACTGCTAAACCATATGGTAATTCCATTTTTCTTTTAGGAAAACAATTTTTTTTAAATACCTGCATAATATTCCTTCATATGAACAATATTCCTTGAATATGATCCATTACATATCTGCTGGTAAACATTTGGGTAATTTGATGATTTTCTTATTGTGAATTATACCACGATGAACATATTTAAGGTATGTACATCTTTGTGTGAATAAGCATGTATTTCTGTGGGAAGATCATTAGAAAGGTAACACTGAGTCAAAGATCCGCACATTTGGAAGTTTAAGAGTCATTGTCAAGTTACCTTCTAAGAAGTTTTCAGGAACATCAGTCTTATCAACAATGTATTTGAGTGTCTCTACCTGCATGCTGGCCACCACTCGGTGCTCTCAGTCTTTTAAATTGTCGTCAGTGTAACAGTTTCATTTGCTCAGCATTTCCCTTATTACTAGTGAAGCAGAGCACTTTCCGATGTTTACTGGCTGGTTGTATTTCCTCAGTAACTTGTCCTTTTCAATTCCTTGCCAATAAGCATTTCAGTTTTCACTTCACTTGACCTTCCAGTCCCCTTTGCCACTGTTGCCAGCTATAGAATTTTAGGCTCGAAGGAGTTTCTGTTGGAATTCTGCAGACAATGTCCTGCTGCCTCTTAGAATCCATGGTTGCTATAGAAAAGTGCAACGCCCGGCTGATTCCTGATACTTAGTATGTAACTGCTGTTTTCTGTCTGAAGGTGTTTAAGGTTTTCTCTTTGCCCCTGATATTCTGAAATTTTATGACATGCCGTTCATGGGTCTCTTCGCGTTCATCATAGCAGACGCCGTTTAATCAAGAGTCTCGTGTTTCGGCTCTGGGAAATCTTGCGTAGTTTTCCTTCAGTAGTTTCTTCTTCTGCGTTTTCTCTTTTTCAAACTCTTTTGGTTGGATGTTAGACTGATTCTCCAAGTCTGTCTTTTCTTTCCCTCTTGCTTTCCTTCTCTCTCGTTCTCATTTTATTTCTCTCAATTTCGATTTATAACTCTTCTATTGAATTTTAAATTTCAGCCCTCGTACTTGTTATTTCCAGTTTCCTCATTGTCCAATTTTCATCCTCAGGAGGATGCCCAGCAAGGGGGCTCAGGGGTGTCTGCGATAGCCTGGGCTCCCTACTCGCCGCCTTCCTGTGTCCTCTGAGAGCCGGCTCTGATGTCCCACATGGCTGCGCCAGTCTGGGCTCTGGTGCTGATCCTAGGAGCTGCCTGCAGCCAGCACCACATGCCCATCTCTGTCCGGTGAGCTGGGCTAAGGGGGCAATTGGGGGCGGCTCTGAGGAATAGTGAGGGACAAAGTTAGAGGGGGCAAGCAGGCTAGCTATGAAGGGCACAGTCCTGGGGAGGAGGGCAGGCGCCCACAGGGTAGAGAGAGGATGAACAGAAATGAGGGGAGCCCCACAGCCTCAGAGCCGGGAACTGAGTGATGCGAAAGCTCGGGTGGGGGCAGGAGAGCGGAAACGTGAGGAAAGGGGCGAGAGCTGGGGAAACAGGTCTGAGGATGGCGGAGACAAGCCCTGAGAAAATGGACAAAACCTGGAGCAGACCCAGCGCTTAGGAGAGACTTCAAGTAGGAGGCAAGAAATGATGGCTGTCTCGGTGTCCTGGAGCTTGCTTGGGGGATCTGAACAAGTAGAACTTGAACAACTAAAACCAGGGGCTGTTCCACCGGGCCCACGCCACCTGGGACCGGCAGGGACCTCTCGGTGGGGTCTGTAAGGTGAGGAGGGGCGGTCTCTTTGTTAGCCCCCCGCATTCAGCTGCACGTAGCTGTGACGATACCACCTCCACCTCAGACCTAGCAACATGGGGCCCATATGGCCCCTATTTTGTGGGGGAAACTTCAACTACAGGGCAAGAAGATCTCAACCTGAAGGCAGGAGATTCCCCGGGTATAAACTGGTTCCTCCTCACCTGAGACTCAACCACGCCTGACATCCAGGGCATAGAGGGATAGAGGGTCCTGGCAGGGATGTGAGGACCTCTCAGGGAAGACGCTTTTTCAGAGAGAGATGAGAACTTAAGGTGAGCTCACGGTCAGTCATTGAAATTTATATTTCTTTTTAAAAAAGATTTTACTTATTTATTTTTAGAGAGGGGAAGGGAAAGAGAAAGAGAGGGAGAGAAACATCAATGTGGAGTTGCCTCTCATGTGCCCCGCTCTGGACACCTGGCCCACAGCTGGGAATCGAACTGGCGACCCTTTGGTTCACAGGTTGGCCCTCAATCCACTGAGCCACTCCAGCCAGGGCTGAGGCTTGTAATTCTTGACAATGACAAGTATTACATTTTGTTTTTTGTTCAAATCAACCTCAAGGAAAGAGAAGTCTCTGGACCAGGAGCCAGTTGCCCCCGGCTCTAAGGACAACTGTGAGTTGGAAACCAGGACAGCTCACTTTCCCTCCCACCCAGGGTGGCCACGCATGTGCCCTCCAGGCCAGGCGATGGCATGAACATGGAATGAATGTGTAAAGGGCAGCCCTTGGATGACAGAGGGTGGAGGGAACTGTGCAGGAGTACAAGCCCTGCCTAAAGACTCACATTCAAATGAACAGCAACGAAGTGTATGCTGCCCAGATAAAGCCTTTCTGCCCCCCTGGAATCCAGCCTTCTGGACCTCAGTTTGGGACTCTAGACCCAGATACTCTGCCCACCCTACCCCACCCCTACCCTGACTTTCTCCTAAGAGATGACTTCTCAGATTCTCTTTCCCAAATCTCTGCTCTGGACCCTAACCTTAGTGGCCACCCTCTCTAAGGTTACCATTCTCGCCAACTCTTATGCCCCCAGTTGGGTTCTGCATCTGGGCCTCTCCCCTCTCCTGGCCTCACAGTGGCCTTTTTCCCCAGCCATTATAACCCAGTGTGACTTTGAGGACAACTCCAAACCCTTCTGTGACTGGACTCAAGTATCCACAGATGATGGGGACTGGATTCGAGCCAGTGGACCCTCCCCCATTGGCAACATTGGGCCCCCTGGGGGGTACCCCAATGGAGGTGAGGAAGCCTAAAGTCTAGGGAGGCAGTGGGCGCCTGGGCTCTGGGAAAGGGTTGGGGGCAGCTCATAGGGGTGGCAGGGCCTCACTGTCCTGGGCTCTGCCTCCCTAGAGGGCTACTACCTGCACCTGGACTTGAGCTCCTTCCGGCCAAGTGGGGTGGTCCGCCTGCGCAGCTCCCCCATATGGGAGCAAGGCCCTCTGTGCGTGCACTTTGCCTACCATATGTTCGGCCTGTCATGGGGTGCCCAGCTCAAACTGCTGCTGCTCATGGGCACCAAGAACAAGCACCCCAACCTGCTTTGGAAACACCTTAATACCCAGAGCCCTTCCTGGATGCCCGCCGCTGTCACTGTGCCCACGGGCCGGGCCCTGCCCAGCCAGGTGAGGGTGAGGGCCCCAGTAGGAATCCGGCTGTGTGGGGAGGCCAGGAGGGACTAAGATAATGAGGGGGTGTGGGGTGGCTGGAGCTTCTGGATTCAGGCAGGAAACTAGGGGCTCACAGCAAGGCGATCCCTCCTCCCTCCCACAGCTGATATTTGAAGGAGTGACAGGCAGCACAGCTTACCTGGACATCTCTCTGGATGCTATCTATATCCGTCGTGGCTCCTGCAGTAGGGGTGAGCCCCTGTCCCTCCTCCTCTTTCTCTGCCACCCCCATGGGTGGCAGGAGTAGCTCAGGGACCATGACCCTGGTTTCTGCCAAAGTCGAGGCTACTTGCTTCTCTCTACCTTCATACCCTGTACCTTTGACTCCTGAAGCAGCCACATCTAAAGAGAAGTTTTCCTTTAACATAGAGTTGTGGTGGTACCTGTCCTGGAGTGACCCGCCATCCTGGTTTGCCCTGGGCTCTCTCTCCCTGGTTTTGTGCTGAAAGTCTTCCATCTCCGGGAACCCTCAGTCCAGGGTAAACCTGAATGTTTGGTCACCCCGGCTCTGCTACTAGACTTGCTACCAGGTCTGTCTGGAATTAGCCCTCTAATTGGATGTTAGAAATTTGAAGGGAGCAAGTTCAAGGGAAGGTGAATTCAATTCCAGAAGCTGGATCAAGGAGCAAACACTGAGCACAGGGGCTGTGCTAGATGCTCCCTGAACATAATCTAGTTTACAACATGTGGTTGCTGTCATTCCCAGTTTTTTTAAAAAATATTTATTTATTTATTTATTTATTTGTTTATTTATTTATTTATTTATAGAGAGTGGGAAGGGAAGGAGAAAGGGAGAGAAACATCAGTGTGTGGTTGCCTCTCACATGCCCCTCACTGGGGACCTGGCCTACAACCCAGCACATGCCCTGACTGGGAATCGAACTGGCGACCCTTTGATTTGCAGCCTGTACTCAGTCCACTGAGCTACACCAGCCAGGGCTTCATTCTCAGTTTATAGATGAGGAAATTGAGGGTTGGGAAGTTTAAGTCATCTATGCCAGGAACACAGCCTCCAGGGAGTGGAACCGTAGCTGGCTTGAAGGCCCTCCATGGTTCATGGGACCCAGATTGGGACTCAGAATTCTGACTCCAGACAGGCGTACTTTTCGGAGCTGCATCCTCTTAGAAAAAGCTAAGTCCTCTTTCTTTTTATTCCCCTCAGTCTGCATGATGCAAATGTGCAGCTTTGACACTCAAAATAATCTCTGTGGCTGGAGCTGGATCCCCACAGCCTCTGGAGCCAAGTGGGTCCAGAAGAAGGGGTCGTCGGGGGTGCCAGACGTGGGCCCCGAGGATGACTTCTCCCGCTCTGGTAGTGAGTAATGGCCACACTCCTATCTTCTGACCTCCTGGGCTTCTAGTGGCCTTGTAGGAGTTTATGATGTTTACTTGACAACTCTACACTAACTCAACTTGGGAAGGTTCGGGGTGGACCCAAGCAATCCCAAACCTCTGTCAGCTTGAACTGCCCAGCAACAGCAAACTCCACACTCTCAGCCAGCTCCCCTCACTGCCACCTCACAAGGTGGCAGACCTAGCATGGCTTGTTCCTTACCTCCCTTCCCCTGGAACCCTTCATTCTTCCTTCATCCAACCAATGTTTACTGAGCACCTAAAATGTACCTGGTACTGTCCCAGGCACTTAAGAGACATTAGTTTACAAAACAGATGAGAAGCAGCAGGGAACCAAGATGGGGACAGTTCCTAAAACAATAAAGAAGTACAGTTATACAGTTATAAGGTGAGCAGAAAAAAAAGTTCAACAAACTAAGGGGACTGGACGTGCAGGGGTAGGGTGGGCTATACGCTTAAATAAGGCAGTTGGGTGGGTCTCACTCAGGTCACATATATGAGCACAAACTTGAAGGAGGTAAGGGAGTAAGGCTGAAAATTTTGAAGAGAAGGACATTTTGACCAGAGGGGTCAGCTGTGAAAAAGCCCTGAGGTAGCAGTGGGCTGGTGGGGGTCGTGGGTGAGGGGCTATTGAGGTTCAGCTAGGAGCCTTGTGGCTGGTTGGAGAGGATGAGCTCAGGTGGGTCCTAGGAGGAACAGATCCTGTGGAGCCTCGAAGCCCATTGTCAGGACTGTGGCTTTACTCTACATGAATGCCTTTGCAGATTTGGAGCAGAAGAGTGACTTGATCTGATTTATGTTTAAAAGGGTCACCTGCTTTTTGTGTTGAAAATCCGTTGAAGGGAATGCAGGGAAGACATTCGCAGGCTTTTGCAATAATCCAGGCGATACTCTTTCTTCCTCTTCTGTTCCATCCACGTCTGACCATAGCCTCTTTTCCACCACCTTGCTGTGCTCTTGGCTGGGCTTTTCCTCTTCTTCTTTTTTCCTTCCTTCCTCCTTTCCTTGCTCTTCAGCTCTTTCTCTCTCCTCCATGCCAGCCACCTCTCCTCTCTCAATCTGCTCCACACAACACGCACTTCTAGCCAGCACTGAGTGCATGCTATGCTAAACTTCTCAGATCAAACATAGAGGATCATGCTCACTAATTCCCTCTTTGAGTTTCTACTTCTTCTTTCTTCTCTTTCCCTTTGCCTTTCTCTGTTCTCAATTCTTTCCCTTCCTTCCACCTTATTTTCATTTTCTTTTTCTCCAGCTTCCCTTCCCCCTCCCCCATAGCCCTTTCCACCCCATCCTCTTCATGCTCTCAGTCCTCTGAGCTTTCCTGCTGCCTGAGGTTTGCCTTCTAGAAAGACCTTGAGAAACCTCCATCCCACCTTCATTCTAAGCCTCTGGAGAGCAGGACAGGGCTGCCCATCTTTGTATCAACCCCCAGCCCCCGGCATTTAGCACTGTATCCCATGCACAGCAGTTTCCGTAAATGTTGTGTTTTTTTTAATTTCTCTCTTCTTTTTTACAACTTGTTCACTTCATAGTATTTTTTCACCATTCTTTGCTTTTTCTCCCATTTCTCTTTTTCTGTTCCTCACATGTCCCAATACCGCCACTCCTTGCTTTCTCTTTCACCATTCACCATTTCCTTTCCTTTCATTCCACCGGCCCTCTTGTTTCTTCTCTTTTCTCTTCTCTTCCATTTTTGCCCATTCCCCTCCTTAGCCCTCTTCTCTCCCTTTCCAAAGTCCTCCGTCCTGGACTATGAGTGCGCACTTCATGGTCGGGCACCTGCAGGCACGCATGTGCACTGCCTGGCAGCCACCTTAATTTTTCCCCTGGCTACCAGTTACGTCACAGAGCGTTTTAGAGGCTGATTGGCTGGCTAAACTGGCGGTAAACCCGATGTGGGGAGATGGCTGCTCTTCTGTGTCAGACAGGCCATCTCTCACTAGTTTGTGTGAATCGGCTCTGTCCAGTGGGTCAACTGCAGCAGGATATGACTCTAGGGGACCTAAAAAGTCAGAACCCAAAGGACAAGGTTCTGTCTGTTCCTCCTGGAAGGATGCCATTTTTCATACGGCAATGCTCATGTCCTTACCCAGCCCTGAGAAGCACTTCTGGAAGGACTGAAGGGTTCAACCAGTTGTGAGATGGATGTAGGCCCACCTCAGCACTGGCTGGACCTAGGCAGCTGTTGGGACTCACCACAGCCAGACCCTCTGCCTTCACAGGGCCCTGTCCCTGTGCCCTACTCTCCCAATTTCAGCCATCCACCTTACTGACCTTTTTCTTCACAGGTGGCTTCTACATGCTCCTGGACCCCAAGAATGCAAAGCCAAAGCAGAAATCTGTTCTCCTGAGCCCTCTGAGCCAGTCATCAGGCTGTCTGAGCCTGTCTTTCCACTACATCCTCAAAGGCCGGTCTCCTGGGGCAGCCCTCACCATCTACGCTTCTGTCTTGGGTGAGAGTGGCGACGTCACGGGAGGCTCATCTCCCATGGCTGGGATGATGGGGAGACATGGGTCTAGAGAAATCTGGGCTATGTGCAAGATTATGTTAGGGTGGAATTGGGGAGGCAGCTGGATTCCGGAAAAATAAAGTGCTAGGAGGTGAGAGAGAAGGAAGTGCTTGCATTTGAGGAATGGGAATACACTCCAAGTATTCCCTTTGCTACTCATTCTTCTGAGTACAGGTTTGAAATCATTTTCCAGCCAGCTTAATCTCACTTCCTCGGATTCTTTCCATTGTAGGCAGCATCCGGAAACACACTCTTTTCTCAGGACAATCCGGACCCAACTGGCAGACTGTTTCTGTCAATTATACAGGCCAGGGGCAGATTCAGGTACAGTCAAGCAAGAGGGCGGGTTTCCTTGCTTGTAGTAGGCACTCCAAATACTGAAAGGGAATGAGGGTCTGGGCACTGGGAGCAATTGCCTGGGTCCCTGAACAGAATATAGTCAGATGGGGTGCTGGGCATTTGGGCGGTTTTCTCATGCCCAGCCCCCTCTTTCTCTCTCTCCAGTTCATTGTGGTGGGCATGTTTGGAAATATCCCAGAACCAGCCGTGGCAGTGGATGCAATCAGCATTGCTCCCTGTGGGGGTAAGAGCAGGGCTCTGGGAGGCCCAGACCCCTCAGAATCAGGGGTGATATAAGGGAGGAATAGAGAGATGGCCAAATTTTCTCCAATGTCCCATTTTGATACTCCAGAGCGCTTTCCTCAGTGTAACTTTGAAGATGATGCCCATCCCTTCTGTGACTGGGTCCAGATATCAGGGATTGGTGGACACTGGACCTGGAGTGGTAAAAATATGCCCACCCAAGGCGCACACCCCTTTGGAGTGCCTCTTAATAGAGGTGAGGAGATTGAGGGCCCCTCAAGCCAATGAAATACTGAATCTGCTCCTAGCTAGGGGGCTGGTTGGTGTGATTGATGGAAGAAGATATAGGTGGTAAAGATTAGCCAGCAGGTGTTTATGGGGAAGTGCCGTGTGGTCGGAACTTGGTGATGACGGAGATAGAGTGAATTGAGGACTCTTATGGCTGCGGAGTCACTGAACCGCCCCCCACCCAAAATCCAGGCACCTCACTTCATTGAGCCCAAGGCTTCAAAATCTACTGTCTCATTAAGACATTTACTAGTGCAGCCAATAAAAGAATCTGGGTCGCTGGTTTGGTTTTCCATTCCTTTCTGATCCTGCCATCTTCAGTTAGAAAAGTCCAAAGTGAGTGTGCACATGCACACATACATACAAGAAAAAAAAAACACTACAATGTGGGGAGTTTGGGTATTTGCATCAAATCTCCATTTAGAAAGCAAGGTATTGCTAAAGAGAGCAGTGCTAGACTTGTCCTGTGGAGGTTTCTCATCTTGCCTATTACCTTCTTTTCCCAAAAAGGTTACTATATCTACCTTGAGGCTGACAAATTCTCCCAGGCAGGCCAGTCTTTCAGACTGGTAAGCCCATCCTTCTGCACCCCGGGTACAATCTGTGTGCAATTTACTTACTACATGTATGGCCTGGGAGAGGACACTAAGCTGAAACTCCTTCTGGGGAGTCCTGCGGGCAGTTTCCTAATTTCTCTCTGGCAACGTGTTGGGTCTCAGAGCCCTGGCTGGCTGAACGCCTCCATCACCATTCCTTCAGTCTATCAACAGCCTATGCAGGTGAGAGACGGAGTGGGTCCTTTAAGTATCTGTGTGGGGCATGGTAAAAAGGACACAATGCCTAGTATCCAGGGACATAACCAGGGCTATGATGGGACACTGGAAGGAGAGCAGAGCAGAAAAATAACGTGGCGTTCCTGAGAAGGTTCTCTGAATCCAGAAAAGGGACAAGGGCAGAGTTGAGGCTGGAACAAGGTGACATTTTGGCAGAAGACAGACTCTCGGCCTGGCAGTCACTGAGGTGCCAGGGTTTCATTTTCATTTCTCTTTTCCTTCTTTCTCCCTCATTACCTTTAGCTGATACTGGAGGCCATCAGGGGCACCAACACTGCCTTCATTGTCGCTGTAGGTTTCATCTTGATCAATCACGGGACCTGTCAAGGTAAGACAAAACCAGAGACCTCATAAACGGGCCTCGCTCTGAGATGATCATCTCTTGGGCTCCCCTGTAGGTACTGGTTAAAAAGCAAGTCCTCTCTCGGTCTGAGTCTTTAGGCAGCCTTGTTTTCTGTGAGTTGCCCACCTCTACCTCCCTGGCTCCAACAGGATGTTTATTTGAGTGACATGGCTTTGATGCCATGAATTTCTGTGGTGGGATCCAGAACACCTTAAGGAATGATGATCCTGAAGGGATCCTATTCTCCTGTGTTATCTGTATCTGGCACGACATCTGACCTATGTTAGGAGCAGTGGTTGTTGAGTGTTTATGGAGTGAAGGTGGGGTTGGAAGTAGAAGGAGGGGTAGGAATAAGCTGCCCCTTTGATCCCACCCACTGCAATTAGATGTGAGTGAAGAGGGTGGTAGTATGATTTTGACTAAACTCCAGGGCTTTTTTATTTCTTTGCAGGACCTGTGCCAACAATGCCTCCTTCCAAGTCTCCAGTTCCCCCTATTGGTCCTTCTGAGATCCCTCTCTCCACAGAAAAAACCACTGTCCTCGCTGGAAAACCCACAGTCCCCACTGAAAAACTCCCTGTCCCCACGGAAAAGCCCACAGCTCCTCCCACACTTGTACCCACTGGGCCTGCAGCCCTGGTGAAGCCTGCTAGTACTCCAAGTACCTCCACGACCACTGTGCCCCAGGCCACCACTACAACCCCTACTCCTACTCCAGGTACGTGATGGTTGGACAAGGAGCTGAGAGTAAAAGATGATGACTAGGAGACAGTATTAGAGAAAGGGATGCTTCCCGTAGAAAACTGCAGTCTTAGAGGAGAGACGAATCAGACATGGTGGCTTTAGAAGAAATGAGGACTGACTACCCTCAGCAGGGCAACAGCAGGGCACAGGTGGGTGCAGGTATTTGGGAACAAGCACCAGGGTTTCTTCTCACTTTTTAAATTGAGACACAGTTCCTATACCATAATATTCATCATTTTTATGTGTGCAATTTGGTGGTTTTAGTATACTTGCAAGACTGTGCATATGTCATCACTTTCTAATTCCAGAAGATTTTCATCACCCTCACAGGAAACCCCATACCCATTAGCAGTCACTCCCTAGCCCCCAAACCCCAGTCCCTGGCAACCACTAATCTACTTTCTGTCTCTATGGATTTACCTGTTCTAGAGATTACATGCAGATGGAATCATATAATACGTGCTCTTTTGTGACTGGCTTCTTTCACTTAGCATAATGCTTTCAGGGTTTACCCATGTTGTAGTTTGTATCAGGACTCTACTCCTTTTTAGGGCTGAATAATGCAGATTAACTTTTTAGAGAAGAACTTGAATGTGGGGTAGAGGAGAGACAGGAAGTCACCCTGAAGAAAGCTATGGAGTGGAGGCTTGATACAGGCTGTTTCCCCCTTAGCAAGCTGCCCTCCAAATGCCCACTACAAACACTGTGCCTGCCCGGCATCCTGCAAGAACCCCAAGCCCAAATGCGAGCTCCTCTGCAAGCCTGGCTGTGTCTGCGACCCTGGCTTTTTGTTTAGTGGCTCCCACTGCATCAATGCCTCTTCTTGCAACTGCTTCTACGACAATAATTACTACACGGTAAGACCACTGGGAAGCCCAGGGTCCCTGAGGGAGATTGCTAGAGGAACACCTGGGTTCTGGTTCCATCTGCTCCCCAGGTGAGGTGAATTTGGATCCATGGAACGGTCCCCAGGGGTCAGCTCTCAAGCAGTGGGTACACAATGGTGGAGTCATTCATTCAGTGTGTGGTTTCGTTGTCATCTCTGTCCATACAATAAATATTTGTGAAGTATCCACTCTGGCAGGGTATGATGCTAGGCTGTGCAGGCAATTCCGTCATCCTGTGGTCCTAACAGTCTTGACATCTCTGTATTTCTGTTCCACGCTGGCAGCCTTGATGCAGTAGATACTAGAGCAACCAGGTGATGCCAGGCCCTCCTCTCCAACCTGAGAGGATACATAGAGAGCCCCGGACATTGAGCAGAGCTTCTGGTATGTCCAGCACATAGCACAGTATTCCACAATCTTCCAAAGGAACTTGTAAATCCTGACAGGATAGATCAAAAGAGAGAAGTGTTCTTGTCTTCCCTCACTGGTGTCCCCCACCTCCGCCCCAAGGGACCTTGTCAAGAGCAGAGGCTCTGAAGAGGCACCAGCTCTGGGCCAGCTCTGTCCAAAAGGCATAGCAATCAAGCCACATGTCATTTTATGTTTCCTAATGGACACATTCAAAAAACAAAAGGAAAGAGGTTAAACTAATACCAATATCTGCTGAATCCTAAATATTCTCATTTCAACATGGAATCAATAGTTATTAATAAAATTGTTTCTATTTCTCTTTTTTCCATACTAGTAGTCTTTAAACCCCAAGTGTGCATTTTACGCTTACAGCATATCTGAATTTGGACCAGCCGAATTTCAAGAGCTCAGTGGGCGCTGTGGCTGGTGGCCACTGTGTTGAACAGAGTCATCCTAGAGTCAGACCGATCTGGGCCTGAATCTCGGCTGCAGCACTTTGCTGGGTCGCCTTGGGCAAGGTTCTGTATCTCCTCAGATCTGTTTCCATATCTCTAGCGTGTTCACAATGAGATTTTCTACTTCATCAGATGGCTGTGTGGTAAAATTAGATCCTGACACAGACCAATTACTTATAAATGTTAATTATTATTATTAGCAGTTTGTGATAACTATCATTTGCAGCCTACTAATTAACAGAACATTCAGCTATTTATTAGTGAACAGTGCCTCTTCTCAGCTCCAGTTATTCTTCCTTGCGGTTGTCTCTTTGGGGGCTACTTCCTCCCCACCGCCCCTCTCTTACCCAGTCTCCTGGGTGTCCTTGCGTCAGTGTTAGGATTAGCTTCCGCTGCAGCTTGTCTAGAAAGACCTGCCATAGCTGTTAGCATCAGGCATCTCTTCCCTGCCCTGGGAGACATGCATTGACTTATTATAGATTCACTTCTGCATCCAAAAATATTTATCGAGTACTTTGAACCCTCCGGGCATTGGGGCCTCCATGAAAACAGCGTGGTCCTTGCTGTCCTAATACCGTTGGATTCTTTGGGACACATTGGATCTTGCTTCATTCTTTCATTCAGCAAATATTTATTGAGTGAGAGCTCTCTGCTGGGCACTGTGCTGTGTGTTAGGGCTAAGGTAGTGAATAGAGATATTCATGGTCCCCTGGCTGGTGTAGCTCAGTGGATTGAGCATGGGCCTGTGAAGCAAAGGGTCGCCAGTTTGATTCCCAGTCAGGGCACATGCTTGGGTTGCAGGCCAGTGTTATGGGGGGCAACCACACATTGATATTTTGCTCCCACTCTTTCTCCTTCCCTTCCCCTCACTCTAAAAATAAAAAAATAAAAATTTTTTTAAACTTAAAAAAAAAGATATTTATGGTCCCTCACAGGGGGATTATAATAAAATAATCCCCCAAATAAATATAAAAGTGCAATGTGGTACTTCCTGGGAAGAAAAAGGTAGCCAGAGCTATGAGGATGACCCCCAGCCAGGGAGTTCTGGAAAGTCTTCCTAAGAAAGTAGTGTCCCTTGACCTGAACTTGTTGGTTGCCTAGGAATAATTTAAAAAGAAGGGAGAAGGAAGAGCATTCCAGGATGAGAGAACAGCATGTGAAAATGTCCTGTGGTGGGCAGGAATATCTAGTAGGGGGGTGGGAACAGAAAAATATGAACAAGTTTAGGGCAGGTGCAGTGGAAGAGAAGGGGGCTGTAGCATGGGATGGCAGGATCACCCAAGAGTTATGTAGTGTCGTGACCCCCAATTCCTTGCTCCCAGCCCGGGGCAGAGTGGTTCGGCGCCAACTGCACAGAACGTTGTCGCTGCCAGCCTGGCAGTCGGGTGGAGTGCCTGAGCTCTCAGTGTGGAACACACACGATATGCCAGTTGGAGGACAACCACTACAGATGTCACCCCCATGGTGAGACCCTCCCCTTATTCTGTCCCCATCTCCCTGCCTTTCAGAGTGGGCGTGACACCAAGGTTCCAATCCATCCCCTGATAAGGGAGGCTGGGGTGTATAATTGGCTGGGCGAGGTGGCTATCTGGCCTGGCAAACCCTCTTCCCGTGGACCCCTTTCTTCTCTTGGCAGGCACTGCCACCTGCTCTGTCTATGGAGATCCTCATTATTTCACCTTTGATGGGAGGCACTTTAGCTTCATGGGCAAATGCACCTACATCTTGGCCCAATCCTGTGGCAACTTGACAGGTAGGGTCCCGGTGACGCCCCCATGGCCTGGGTGAGGGGTCTGACAGAACAGATGGGCATGGGAGCAAATAGAAAAGGCAAGAAAGTAAGACTTGACATGTTCACCCCAGAAGCAGGACTTTCTCAAGACCAGGCAACTAGGGAAATTGCATCTTAAGACACTTTTTTAAATCAGTCGCTTCCTTGGCTAGCTTTTATTAAGAGGCTCACCTCACTTGGTGGCAATAAAGAGACCAGAGAAGTAGCACAAACATCGACCCCGGAGGACATCCCAGTCCTGAGGGGAGATGGATTGGCAGCATGCCATGTCAGGCTGCTCCGGAACAGGCAGGCGGTCACGCCCCACTCCCATGTGGGACTGGGCTTCCCTCTGAAACTACAGCTGGCATCTTTGTGGTCCTTTATCCCCACGGTGCCAGGCATGGGTGCCTCCCTCAGTGGGTGCTCAGAAATGCTGTTGAATGAATCCCTGGGTGCTCTTCACTCTTCTCCCCAAATAGAGCCCTTCTTCAGGGTGGTGGTGAAGCATAAGGAACGAATACAGGAAGGTGCGTCTTGCCTGAGCGAAGTCTACGTGACGCTGCCTCAGACCACCATTACCCTGCTCAGGGACAGGCGCACTCTGGTGAGTCCATTTTCTGTTCAGCTCTGCTGGGGCCGCCTGTGGGCTGCTGTAGCCTTCTCCCGGCTGGTTCCTGCAGCCTCCAGCCCCTCTCAGGGATTGGCTCCAGAGCACTCCAAGGGAAGAGGTCTTTAGGTTTGCTGTAGAGGGTGGATATTAGCATCTTCTGGGGGGCCTTCTGACCCTCAGATCCATCTCTTGGTTTCTTTCTTTGGCCCCACTTTTCCAGGTTGGGGGTCAAGAAGTCACCCTCCCAGCCGTACCTTTTAAAGGCATCTTCCTGGCTCCAAGTGGGCGATTTGTGGAGCTGCAGACTGCGTTTGGTTTGCGGGTGAGATGGGATGGTGACCAGCAGCTATTTATGAGAGTGCCCAGGTGAGGCAGCTGCTGCTTCTCCCACTCTGCCCTTCCCTCTCCCGGGACCATGCAAGCCTCTTAGCTTCGTAGATCAGGCGAGCACGTTTAGGATGCTATGGCTGCAGACCAATCCTCTTTTGCTTCCATTCCAGAGATAATTCCCAGTCTAGGTAGGAAGCACCTGGCTCAACTGGCAGGCCTCCCCTTTAGATGGGGAGACAGGAGGAAAGGGTTTCAAGGCTGTGCATCATAGCAGGATATACTCACAATGATTTGGGAATGTGCTAGAAGGAGTCACTAATGGGCTGTGGGAGCTTTCAGAAGAGTGGTCACTTCATCTCAGTCATCGAGGAAGAGCAGTTCATAAGGGAACTACAGCTTTATAGAAATAGTGAATAGCAAATTCAAGAAAAAACTGAATGTCTTAGGGCCAGTGAAAGGTTTGTTATGCCTGGAAGGTGAGCGAGAGCAGAAGAAAGAAAGGAGGGCAGACCGTAAGGACAGCTCCAGGCAGGGGGCCGTGAGGTCCCTGTGTGCCTGGCGCCTGGCACGGAGCCCTCGATCTGAGTCTGCTCCTCTTACTTCTCTGCTCATCTCGCTCATCCGGCTCTGCTGTGGTCCCTCAGATGACTAAGGCCCCTTCTTTCCATTAATGCCACCTCCTTGCCCTGCCCCTTGCAGCACCTACTACAGCAAAGTCTGTGGTCTCTGTGGCAACTACGACGGTGACAATAGCAACGACAACCAGATGCCTGATGGTAGGCCAGCACGGGATGAGGACGAGCTAGCCACCAGCTGGCAGGCCGCAGAGGATATGAACAAGGAGTGAGGACGTCCCCTGCTCTGTCACTGCCCTTCTGCTCCTTTGCCCCTTTTAAGAATCAAACACCCTGCCTGGCATCATCCCTGTTCTCCTCTCTCTTCCTTCACACACCTCCACTTCTGTCCCAGCCCTGTCTATGAACTCATTACCCACACGTTCTTCCCTACCATCAGTGATCCTCAGGCAATCGTGAGGAGCCCCCCGTCTTGCTTGTCCACTTCAGGTTTTCCCCTCCTTTAGGGCTTGGTGTTCAAATATTCTCCACTAGGGGTTGCTGAGAGCTGGGAGACTGCTAGGGTAGGGGCCAAAAAGAGGCAAGACTTGACCCTTGGGGCATTTGGGGTGGATCTCTTTTAGGTGCCAGAAGAACAAGGCAAATCCCCCATCCTGTAACTCAACCTTGCAGAACACTCTATCGGGGCCAGAGTTCTGTGGACGGCTCGTGGTCTTCCATGGAGCTTTTGAGTATGAAAGGAGGCAGGATGGGTGTGGGGGGGACAGAGGGGCTCGGCACCTGAAGTCCTCTGAGGCGGGGTGCTCTGCCCTCTCTGTCCCCTCAGATCCTCTGACCTGGCCTCTCTCCACAGGTCATGCCTGCCTCACCTCATGGCTTCTGTCTTCCTCAACAACTGTGTGCTTGACATGTGTAACTTCCAGGGGCTACAGCAGATGCTGTGTGTTCACATGGCAACCTTGACTGAGACCTGCCAGGATGCTGGCTACAGGGTGAAGCCCTGGAGAGAACCCCAGTTCTGCCGTGAGTTGCCCCAGGAGCAGGGTCAGGGGGATGCTTCCTTCAGATGCATATGAGAGCAGAGGGCTAGCATCCAAGAGAGTTAGCACAGGCGTGGGGGTGCCTGATGGGACCCTTTCTCTTCCACACGTGGACAGGGGAATCTGCAGATGTCAGAAACATCTACTGAGAAAATCAGTCACTTGTAAACTCAGCACATCTCCCCAGCTGCCTGAGGCTATGCAGACAAGGCCAGGGCCTGCCCGGGTTGCCTGATGCACACATGAAATACAGACTTGTGGCTGGGAGGTCGCACCATCACTGACACACAGCTGCTAAGCATGGCCCGGTCCTCTGGGGAACCTGCTTTAGGGCAGGGCCATGCCCTTAACTGAGGCCACATGGGTGCTTCCCCAAAGTTTCTTCCACCTTGACCATGTAACTTGGGCATGTTTACGTAGCAGCACTGTTCAGGTTCTTGGATCAGTCCACTCGCATGGATCTGCCTCTTGGTAGCTCCCTCCAGGCCTCTCCTCCAGGCCTGAGCTCTTCAGTCATGCTTCTCCCGGTCCCTCTCTTCTTCTCAACATGGGACAGAAGCCTCTAGCTGAGACCCTCTGAACTCTGGGCTACGAACTAGCTACAGACCTTCTTTCTCTTGTCCTCAGCCTGCCTCACATGCTTCTCGCCTGTGCTTCTCCCTCCCCCAGCTCTGGACTGCCCACCCAACAGCAAGTACACCATGTGTGCCAACATGTGCCCCGACACCTGCCATTCAAGTTTCTCTGGCATGTCCTGCCTGGACCGATGTGTGGAGGGCTGTGAGTGCAACCCTGGCTTCGTCCTCAGCGGTCTCCAGTGCGTCCCCCGATCCCAGTGTGGGTGCATGGACTCCACCGGCCACTACCTCATGGTGAGCTGCTGGGGCTGGGCCTCTTAGCCATGCAGCAAGAAAGCCCTTCTCCAGGATCTGAAGTCTGCAGCAAGAGAGGAGGTGTGGCAGGGCCCGTAGGGCTGGATTTGGGGAAATTCTGGCCCAGGCCTTCTTCCCCTTTTTCTTTCTTCAGCTCTAGCAATTTTTATGCAGACAGGGATGGGATTGTAGCAGTTACTGCTAACACTACCTGGCAGAGCCTGAGACCCCTGTTTCTCTTCCCTCCCATCTTCTCTGCCCCTGTGTCTCCGAGTTATTTTCTTCATCTGTGTCTCCCCTGAACTCTTTCCAAACACCACCTTCTCTCCTACCAAGGCCCCTGTCTCTGCTGAAGGACTTCAGTTCCATCCTGGCCCCAGCTTCACTGTTTTCTCAGAGGCAGTATTTGGAGCCAGACTCTCGTCAATGTCACTTCTCTCTTCTTTCTTTCCTTGTTCCTCACCCAAGTCCTAGAAACTACATTGATGTCTGTCAAGGCCATCTACCACCTGAGGTCCTCTTAAATCTTCCCCTCAGCCCCCACTCCAGGCCCTCTGAAGACTTTCTGTCCATGCCTTGCTCTATCATCAATTCCACCTTCTTGCAAGCCCCTTTCACCTGCTCTCAGGCACCCAGCCACCCACACCTGCTGGAATTCTTCACCTCCTTTGAGGCCCTGTTGAAATGCTGCCTCCTCCTTGAAGCCTCCTTGATAGGCAAAGTCAGAAAGCAGACCTGTAAACTTTTCTAGCAAGCACTTACTGTCTGTGTTGATGGCAGGACACCCTCACTGGGCGCCCTGCTTGTTGCTTGTCTTCTTTGGGTGCATATTGTGTGGGGGCACATGATCTGGCAGTTTACTTGTTTGCTGCCCCACTCTGCGTCGTGAGTTCTTTTAGGGCAGGCACATAGTCCATCCATTTCATTACTGAATTCCCAGTGGTTGACACCAGGCATATATAAATTCTGTTGAAATAGTGAAGGAACAAACAGATGATAGAATGATTGAATACATGAGTGAATGCCAGACTTTTGCAACTAACCCTGGAGCTTTGGGAAGACAGAAATTCTCTCAGTGATCAAGCCAATGATCTGAATAGCTGTGAGCTAACTGTCAGATCTGGGAATGACATCTTTTTCTTCCTTCCTTTCTTCTCCCAGGTACGGCAGAAGTGGTTCAAAGCAGGCTGCAAAGAGCTCTGTATCTGTGAGGGCAACAACAAAATTCGTTGTGTGCTCTGGAGGTGCCAGGCCCAGGAAGTCTGTGGTCAGCAGGATGGCATCTATGGCTGCCATGCTCAGGGTGAGCAGTCAGGTGGAAGGTGAGGTGGGGCTGGCTGCCCATGCAGTCTCACGTAAGGGCATGGCCTTGCCCTAAAGCGTGCTTCTCGGAGAGCTGGAGCATATCCAGGGGCTGGAGGGCAAAACCAGAGCATTGCCTTCAAGGACCCAGAGAGTGAGGTTGGGTAAGTCCCTGCTCTTAACATCTCTAAGCCAAGCTGACTACCTGATGAGCTCTGGGGACCACCCCAGTGTGGACTCACCAGATGGCCCTTCCAGGTCAATGCGCCTCCAAACCCCATCTCCTCCTTCGCAGGGTCTGCCACCTGCACTGTCTCGGGGGATCCCCACTACCAGACCTTCGATGGAGCTCTGCACCACTTCATGGGCACCTGCAGCTACACCCTGACCCAGCCTTGCTGGTCATGGTCCCTGGACAACCACTTTCTCGTGAGCACCACCAACGAGTTCCAAGGTGGGAACTTGGAGGTCTCCTATGTGAAAGCCGTCCACGTGAAGGTCTTCAACCTCAGAATCTCATTGATCAAAGGCCACAAGGTTGTGGTGCGTGCCTCTGCCTACCACCCCGGGGCCCCGCACCAGCAGCCTGTGCAGAACCTCTGCTCTGTCCCTCCTTGCCGAAGACCTGCCTGTCTGCCTTCTGGACCCCAGGGGAGTTCCCTGTAGCAGACCCAGCCCCTGTTCCTGAGACACACTCTCTGCCCCTCTCCTGCTCCCTGGCCTTGGTCCTGTTGTTGTCCTAGTTCCAAATGCATTTCCCTTCCATGTCCTCTCTGCCTTTGTAGCTGAATGGTCACCGGGTGGCCCTCCCTGTATGGCCTGCACGAGGTCGGTTAAGCATTAGGCTCAGCGGCTCCTTTATTCTCCTCTACACTGACTTTGGGCTTCAAGTTCGCTATGATGGGAACCATCTGGTCAAAGTGACAGTACCCTCCACCTATGCTGGCCGGCTCTGTGGGCTGTGTGGTGAGTTCCTTGGGCACCTGTTGGCAAAGCCAGGACAACAGAAAGGAGCCTTCCTGGTCCTTGCTCATACACACTCTTAATATACAGGTCCTAAGCGCTGGTCCACCGCTTCATAGGTGGAGGGTGTTGGGTATGTGGGTAGGTGTTAAGGAAAGCTCAAGGTAAAGAAAAAGTTAACCTTGGCCTGTGGAGTTTGGAGTGACAGGGTCTCTTGGGGGAGAAAAGCGGTGGTCCTGGGGCTGGGTCTGCTTGCAGGGTACCTCTGTGGCCTCTGTTAACTGCTCCTTCCTCCAGGAAACTACAACAACAACAGCTTAGATGACAATCTGAAACCAGATGAAAGGCCTGCAAGCAACTCCATCCAACTGGGAGTTTCCTGGAAGTCAAAAGAATACTCTGAACCCGGGTGAGCTGGGAACAGGGGGTGCCGAGCATGGGGAGGCGGGCCTGGGGAAGAGCTCAGCGGGAGGCCTGCAGGCATCCTCTGTGTGTCCCCAGTCTCTCCAAGACTGGATTTGATCCCCTGCTGCTGATTTCTCCTGTGCTTACTGATCTAAGTCTTTGGAGAACCCTTCTGGGCAGTCTGTACTGAGATCTAACCATCTTCCTTCCTGCTGTATCCTGTCCTTACTTACCTCCCTGTTTTTCTCTCCACTTTTATTTCCATTTGGGGGAAGCTTCCTCCGACCCTAAATTCCCATCCTTTCCCCCTCTTTTTGTTTAGCTGCTTCTTCGAGGGTGCCAAGTCTTCTAGATGCCAGGGGAATGAAGTGGAACACACCTGGAATAAAAACTGTAATATCTTAATCAACCCTCTGGGTGAGCCTCATCCTCTGCTGGCCCCCTCCCCTTCCCCAGGGTGGAGAAAGGAGGGGGACTGGTCAGGGAGGGAGGAAGAGTGAGACATGAAATAGACAGAAAGTCGGAAGGAAGACAGATGGAAATGCAGAGGCAGTGTGCCCTTCTTGGGAGCCTGATGGATAAGCCTTTTTATCTGCATCTCAGGGAGTAGGTTCTCAGTAAATACAGGAAATGGATGTTGAATTGGCCCCAAGCAGCTGCCTGGTTTTGCTCCCTTCCCAGGTTTTTGCTCTTCTCTCACACACCCGTGGTTTTATCCTCCAGGACCTTTCTCCCAGTGCCATGAGGTGGTTCCCCCACACTCCAGCTTCACCAGTTGTGTGCATGGCCAGTGTGGGACCAAGGGTGACGCCCTGACCCTGTGCCGCTCCCTGCAGACCTACGCATCCCTGTGTGCCCAGGCCGGGCGGGCCCCTGCCTGGAGGAACAGCACCTTCTGCCGTGAGTGACCTGATGGGCACTGCTGCAGTGTGGAGGAGTCTCCCGGATCTTGTCCTCTCCTCCTTTCCCTAAGTTCTGTTGCTAGGTTCTTCCCTCCTAGGCTGGTCCTCAGCCCCCACAGGGGACCTGTCCTGTTCTCCACTTTCCAGTTTCTCCAAGCCCAGCCCCCACCCTCTACTTGTCTCCTTGCACTGGGAGCCACTCCAGCTGGTTCTCACATCATCCAAAACGTCTGCACTCCTTTGGTTACTGCATCTTTCCCCTCTTATCTGTTCCCTTTCTTCCTCTGTCCTAGGAACTCTTTTTTTTTCAATTATGGTAAAATATACATAATGTGAAATTGCCCATTTTAGAGACTTTTAAGTGTCCAGTTCTACAGCATTTAACACACAGTATTGTGGGACCATCACCACCATTCGCCTCCAGGACTTTTCCGTTTTCCCAAACGGAAACTCTGTCCCCAGTAAACACTAAATTCCCATTCCTCCCACCCCATCCCTGGGCATCCACCGTTCCCCTCTCTGTCTCTATGAATTCGACCAGCCTGGGACCTCACGTGAGTGGACTCACACAGTGTTTGTCTTTCTGTGACTGGCTGGTTTCACTCAGCACAGTGTACTCCAGGCTCATCCATGCTGTAGCATGTGCCAGAATTTCCTTCTTTTTAAGGCTGAATCATATTCTGTGGCATGGATTGACCCCATTTTGTTTATTCATGCATCTGATAAACATTCTTCAGGCCTCAAGGTCAGGGAGCTGGAAATCACTCAGCCCTTCCTAACACTAGTTTCTTCTTAGCTCTGAAGTGCCCATCTGGCAGCAGCTACAGCCCCTGTGCCAACCCTTGCCCAGCCACCTGCCTCAGCCTGAGCCCCCCACTGGACTGCCCTGCAGCACTGCCCTGTGTGGAGGGCTGTGAGTGCCAAAAAGGCTACGTCCTGAGTGGAACCTCCTGTGTGCCCCTCAGCCAGTGTGGCTGCACTGACCCAGGGGGCTCCTACTACCCGGTGAGAGGCCAGAGCACAAGGGGTGCCCTGCCCTTCCAAGGTCTACGGGCTAGGGGGCAGAAAGGGTAGGCAGGCCAGTGCTGGGGGCTAAAGAGCAAGCTGAAAGATGCAGTGATGGAGGTCATTGCTGAGTAAAGCTAGCCTCATGCAGAGTTCGGGGTGGCGGGGGCCCAGTCTATCTCTGGCTTCCACGTCTCTGTTGCATGCCCACACCCCGCAGGTAGGGGAGAGCTGGTACACGGACAACACCTGCTCCAGGCTCTGCTCCTGTTCCACCTATAACAACATCTCCTGCCTCCAAACCTCCTGCAAGCCTAGCCAAAAGTGCTGGCCCGTGGATGGACTCATACGCTGCCGGGCTGCAGGTAAGAGGCCCCTGAGCATGCAGAAGACCTCACAGCCACCAAGACGAGCTCTCCCCGATTCCCCCTCATGCTCGCCTCACTGCCATCTGTGGCACTCCGGTCTGTGGCCCTGCTGTACCAAAGAACTTCTGGTGGGAAAGATGAGCACTGCACTATTTGTCAAGAAGGGCTCCTTGGAGTCACTCATGGTTCTCCATAGCAGGTGGGCCATCAGAAGTCTCTCCTTGGCAGGATAATACCTGTTCCACCCACAAGCCTCACACCAGCCAGAGCCTTGTGTCTTGATTCTTTTCCTTATCTTCCTTCCCTTTGGAAGCCCCGCTCGCCTTCACATCTTTTCCTTGAAGATGGGGAGAATGCCTGTTCTTGATAGAGGATGCGTGTTCCTCAGCCGCCTCTCTCTCCTGCAGGAATGGGAGTGTGCCGGATCTCAGACACCTCCCATTATGTGAGCTTCGACGGCAGTTACCACGCCATCAGGAGCACCTGCACCTACGTCCTGGTGAAAACATGCCACTTCACCATGGACCTGCCTTTCTTCAAGATCAGTGGCGAGAATGGGAAGAGGGAGAACCAGTCCCCTGACTTGTACCTCCGCCAGGTCAACATTAACATCTTCGATTCCCTGATCATCCTGCAAAAGGGCCACCGAGTGCTGGTGAGCTGGGTGGCAGGGGCTGGGACAAAGGAAGTGAGCTCTGGGGAGAGGCTCTGGTCCTTCTTCCTACTCGTGTGCCATACCTTCCTCTGCAGATCAATGGCAAGCAGTTCACCCTTCCCTCCACCAACAAGGTCCGAGGTGTCAGCATCTCTGCAAGTGGCATCTACACTGTGCTCAGTGTTTACATTGGGCTGCAAGTCAAGTTTGATGGCAGTGGGTTCTTAGAGATCGAACTCCCTAGAGCCTATTATGGGAAGGCGAGTAAGACACCTGTCCTCTCCTAAGGAAAAGCCCCCCCGAAAGGGGTGGGGCCCTAGACCCAAGAAGTCACTCCTCAGAACAGCAGAGGGGTACTGAGTGCTCCTTTGTCCTTAGAGTGGAAAAGCAGGTGCCAATGAGAAATGCTCTCCTGCCCCCCACCCCGAATCCTGAGACTCCCCTCTGCCCACCCAGGTCTGTGGCATGTGCGGGAACTTCAATGGTGAGGAAGAGGACGACCTCATGATGCCCAATGACGAACTAGCTCGGGACGATATTGAATTTGTGGATAGTTGGCAAGATAAGGAGGCCAACCCAATGTAATTGTCTCCATATCTTTCTGCCTTTTCATAGGAACACAAGCTGGTGTTCTAGATCATGTGCCATGCCTGGGTTAGGGAGATCAGAGTGCCTCCTTTATGTGCGTGACTTGACCAGGAATGGCTTCTGGGGGCTGGGAGCCTATGTGGGGGAAACAAAAAATCTTCCTTTTTTAGTTTCAAAGCATGGGAGGGAACCAAGGCTGCATGAAAGGTGGCCAGAGCTCAAATCAGCTTCCCAGTGAAGACAAAAGGCGTCTTCAGGGTCATTTGGGACCCCTTCAGGGTCATTTCCACGGCTGTGGCTGTGGCTGTCCCTGTGATGATCCCTTTTCCCTTACCAGTTGCCAACAAGATGAGCAGATGAAGATCAAGAGAGAAGATCAGGAGGAGCTAACTGCGAACTGCAGGCCTGATCGCCTAGCAAGAGCTCAGGAGCAATGCCAAGTGGCCTTCCAGGCTCCGGCCTGGACTGAGTGTGCCACCCACGTGGCCCTTAAGCCCTTTCTGCTCCGCTGTGTACTCAACCTCTGTGAGTTTAGAGGTCTAAACAATGCTCTCTGCGTGTCTCTGCAGGCCTTTGGGGCCGCCTGCCAGGCCCAGGGGCTCAAGCCCCCAATCTGGAGAAACAGCAGTTTCTGCCGTGAGTGTCCCCTACTGCCCCAAATAGCTCCCAAACCCTGCTTCTATCTGTGGATCTCTTTAAAATACCCTGTTTTCCTTTCCGATTATTTCTGACCTCACCAACAGCAGTGTTTAGAATAACCTCTTAGCCAGTGCCCCTCCCACCAGGACAGCACGGGCTGCCTCTCATCTACTTCGCTAACACTGTCTTTCCAAAGGATGTGTGCTCCTGTTATTCCCCTGTATGGCTATTGCCGGCAAGATTTGGTCCAAGCTCTTGTCTGAAATGCACAACAGCCTGCATGCTGTCCCAGCCTCTCCTCGCTCGCCCCTTTCCTGTGCACCTGCCATTGCCTGCACCAAATGACCCCGTTCCCCACGCAGACCTTGCTCTTCCACGCCCGTCCCTGCCTTTATACACAGTCCTCCTTGTGCCTGGAAAGTTCTCCTCCTGGCAGACTTCTAGGTATCCTTCTGTAGCTCTTTCCTTTAAAATAAAAAAAAAGTTACACACTGTAATATTCACCCATTTTTAATTGTACAGTTCACTGGCTTGTAGGATCTTCACAAGATTCTGCAACCATTACCACTATCTAATTCCCGAACCTTTTAAATTTTAAAACAGTAATTAAAATGTTTTTTACCATTTTATGCATTCATATGGTTTAAAACCTTTAAAACTATGAAGAGTCTCAGTGAAAAGTCTGCCTCCCATCCTGGCCCCGCGGGTCCCGTCTCCAGCCCACTCAGATCAGAATCAGTCTCTTTCCAAAGGTCTTTTATTGAGGCACATACAAACAAATATAGGTTTACTTTTCTTAGTTTTTTACAGATAGCGTTTGAGACACAGGATTTCGCACTTAATTTTTTTTTGCACTTGACGATCTAGCTCGGAGACCCTACCACATCAGATTCTCCTCCATGGCAGATAGCCATGCCTCATTCTGTGTTGCAGCTGAGTAATGTTCCATTATGGTGTCATAATTCATCTTTCATAATTTATTTAACTAGTCTCCCATCAATGGACTTTCTAGTTGTTTCCAGCCTTTTGTCTCCCGTTCTGCCCTGGGACAGCCATTCTTCTTCCTCTCTTCCCTTGGGCCCTGGCACAAACCCCGCAGTCACTAAGTCTCTACCCGCCCTTCTCACCCCCAGCTCCGGAATGCCCCGCCCATAGCACCTACACAACCTGTGTCTCTTCTGCTTACCTTTCTCCTGGGACCTGAAAGGCAGTGTAAGGAGACCAAAGTCCTTTGCACCTGTGAGGAGGGCTGCGTTTGTCACCCTGCCACATGCTGCAGTGGATAACCTTATGTAGTCACGATTTTCTATGTGTGCCGCACGTATGTGTAGGGTAAATTCCTAGACGTGGAATCGTTGGGTCAGGGATGCCAAGCTTTTGTACTTTTGAGGGATGTTGCCAGTTGGCTTTCCTAGGGGTTGAGGAATCTACATTCCTGCCATAAATGTACGAGAGTGTTCGTTTCCCCACAGATGCATCAACGCAGAGCATTATCACACTTCTGAATTTTTGCCAGTCTGAAAAATAGTCTTCATTTGCATTTTCCCTATTCCGAGTGAGATTGTGCATCCTTTCATTATTTAGGAGCCATATGAATTTCCCTTTCTGTGAACTATCTCTTCATACCCGTCCAGCAGCTTTCCACTGGGGTGTTGGTCTTTTTGAACTATTTTATAGAAGTTCTTTTATCTATTAGACAGAGTAGTTCTTTACTAATGCTACAAGTCACAAAAAAATTTCCAGTTTTTTATATTTGACTCTTTTCTTGCCATGCAGAAAGAATTAATATGTAGTTTGTGCGGTCAAATCTGTTAGTTTGTCTCATGGCTTCTGCATTTTGAGCCATGGTTACAAATGCCACCCCCTCAGAAGTTTAAAAAGAATCTGCCCATGCTTTGCCCTAGTATTTTTATGGTTTTATTATATTTTAGAAAAAATTTTGATCCACAGGAGTTTATCCTGGTATATAGTACAAGATATGAATCAAGTTTGGCTTTATTTTTTCCCAGCATTACTAAATGACCAGTCTCTCTTTTCCCATTGAGTGAAATGCCATAATTTATTGTATACTAACTTCCCACATGTATTTGGATTTTTATATGGGCTTTCTCTCCTCTTTCATTGTCCCATCTGTCTTTACTTACTTATAACAATGTTGTGATCGTTGCAAGTTTAACATGTCATAATTTCTGGTAGGGACAGTCACTACCCACTGCTTTTTCCTTTTTACAAAGAAAAGTTTTCTTGGCTCTTCTGGTTTGTTTATATCGTCAACTCCATTTTAATATCATCTTGTCTTATTAGAAAACGTTACAAACATCTTTTGGGTGTGTTTTATTAGGATCATTTAAATGTATAAATTAACTTGGGAAACCTGACATTTTAATAGTGCAGACTGCTGCCCATGAACACTCCCCTTTGTTCTCAACTACTTTTGCCTAAAGGGCTTGATTTAACTCCTCCAACAGAGCAAGCAGCTTGGACTTTGTGCTCCTATGCAACACACACACACACACACTTGCACACCCGCCGCACACTCACTGACCACACACATCAAGGCCCCGCGGGAGCTGCTGGCTGACCTTTGTCTCCCGGGCTGGGCTGAAGCGGGAGAGCCGTTTCTGCCTTTCTTCCCCCAGCCCTGGCACAGAGGCCTAGCCCACGCTCACTAAGGCTTTCTCTCTCCCCCTCTTCCCCTGCCCAGCTCTGGAATGCCCGCCCTACAGCACCTACACGACCTGCATTCCTCCCTGCTCACCTTCCTGCTGGGACCCTGAAGGCCAGTGCAAGGACGCCGCAGTGCCCTCTGCCTGCGAGGAGGGCTGCGTTTGTCAGCCTGGCTACGTGCTCAGGGATCAGCAGTGTGTGCCCAGGGCTCAGTGCGGCTGCCGGGATGCCCAGGGCCGCTTCCTCCCTGTGAGTGGGGATGGAAGTTAGGGTGGGGTCAACACACCTTGAGGATGGCATTTTCTGCTTTCCTTAGCCTTTACGGGCCTGGGGAAGGCTGGGGACAGGGCAGGGTGGGCTGCAGCCCGGACTGGGCTGGGAGGGTGTGGTTTGGGTTTGGATCTGAGGAATCCAAAACCTGGGATGCTGTACAGTGTAGTGGAGGAGCACAGCCTTGGTTTGAATCCTGATGATGTTCTGAGGGGACGGTGTCTCCTCAGTTTCCTCATCTGGACAGTGGGTCCGGTAGTTACCTCCTGAGCAACCTCGGGAACAGCGTGTGTAAGACACCAAGAGCAGTGCCTCTAGGGGGTGGTACAGAGACAAGCGTGTGAAGACGGCTCCATAACTGTCTCTGGCCTGAGCCCAATAAGCCATTCAGACTTCTGGCTTGGGCTGAGGGGTGAGAGGAAGGAGAATTGGCACTTCCCTCCTTACTCCCTGGGGCTTCCTACGGCTTCCACAGGCAGGGAAAGCCTGGCTGTCCAGTGACTGCACCGGGAACTGCACCTGCAGAGCAGGAGCCATTCAATGCCGGCCCTTCATCTGCCCCCCTGGTTCCCACTGCCAGCCCAATTCCAATGGCAGGAGCAGGTGCATCCCCAACAGTAAGGGAGGCATGTGGGGAGGTGAAGAGGGGGGACCAGGGGGCCGAGATGGGGCCAGGGGGCTGAGGCGGGGCCAGGGGGCTGAGGCTGGGGCGCTCTGGAGAGGAGTGGCTGAGCTCAGGCATGGGGTGGGTCTGGGTTCTCATCCCAAGTCTCCCCAGCTTTGTGCTTGCTTGCAAGTCATGACCCTCTCTGGGATTCAGTCCATGAGGGGCAAAAGAGGAAAGTGGATGAAGAGATCCTCTCTGGTTTTTAATGGGGCTGGAGGAGAGGAAAGTTGTGGCTCAAGTATCAGGGGAGTTCAGGGCTAAGAGGGAGAGTGACAGGAATCAGCAGGGCGGGTGGGGGGTTCTGGGGGCTGGTGTCACGGGGCAGGGTGCCTTCTCAGCGTTGGCCCTTCTTGGCAGAGTTGAAACAATGCTCAATTCTCGGAGATCCCCATTACCGCACATTTGATGGCCTCAGATACCGCTTCCAGGGCCGCAGGACCTACACTCTGATCCAGACCGTGGATGTGCTCCCCAGTGGTGCGGCACGCCTGGTTGTGGAGGGACACAACAAAATGTCCATGCCCCTCGGCCTGATCTTCCTGCATGAAGTCATTGTGATGGTCTATGGCTACACAGTCCAGCTCCAGGCTGAACTGCAGCTTGTGGTAAGAGCTGGGCCAGGCCAAAAGGTTCTGGGGAGGCAGCCTGGGCCATGGGAGGCCACCTGGAGCAGGCGGAGCCAGGACTCTGTGTCTCCCGGGAAGTTCCTGACAGTGGCTGCCTGGTTATAGAAGTCAGAGTTAGTGTCACATTCACATCATGGGATTAAGCAAAAGGCTGGAGGGAGACCAGGGACGAGAGAGGAGAGAGCCTGCAGTGTGAAGGTGGAGCTGGTTGAGGAAGTCCCAGGGGTGCCGACTCTGCCAATATTTTTACAAGAAAAGAGCTAGGGCTGCGAAGGCAGCAGATCTCCGGGAGGCCTTTGCCGTGCAGATGGTGAAGCCTGCTGGGGCACATCTCGTTCCACGGAATGGAGACAGGAGGGGGCACTGAGATACACTGAGAGAGGCAGAGCCACAGCAGCAGCGGGCAGGTTGACTCGACTCCCTGCAGCTCCTGTCTTCCTTCTCCAGGTCAATGGCCAGAAGACAGCCACCCCCTACAACCCCGATGAGCATCTGCTGATTACCACTCGGGGCCATCGACTGTATCTGACCACTGACTTTGGGCTGGTTGTCAGCTTTGATGGGAGGAACAATGCAGGTACTAGAGGCTGGAGGCCTGAGGGCAGAAGGGGTGTTTCTGAATTGGGGCAGGCGGCACCACATCTTAGAACAAGTATGGTGAGAGAACCCCTGCCTGGGAGTGGGCGCTGCGCTCCGGTGGAGGACCCGGGAGGTGTGAGAAAGCAAAGAGGTGGGCAGTCTTGCTTTGGATGTTCCCTTCCTCCTGCAGCGATCTCCCTGCCCAGCACATACCAGGGGCTTGTGCGTGGCCTGTGTGGGAACTTTGACAAGAACCAGAAGAATGAGTTTATGCTGCCCAATGGCTCCCTCACTCAGAACCTCAGCGACTTCGGCAACAGTTGGGAGGTGGAGATCAAGGGAGGCCTTCCCCACTTCTCCAGGTGAGAAGGCTGCGGCTTGGGGCAAGGAGGCCCAGGCCCTGGGGGCCTGAGCAACAAACAGCTCGGTATCTGTCCACACCCACTCACCCCCATATCCTCAGCAGAAAAGGAAACCCTCAGGCAGGTGCCCAGATGCACTTGCCAGGTTCCCCTAATCCTGTGGGGGTCACCTGCCATCTGGATCCCAGTCTCTGCCTAGGCCCTCCCCTCACATTCTCAGTTCTTCCTAAATTCAGGAGCCTTCTTGCACCTCCCCTGGCCCTTGGCTCTCTCAGCCCCAGGGCCGTTCAAGAGGAGGAGGAAGAGGGAGAAGAGAAGCGGGGCTCTGATGTGTCAGAGTGCAGCCCGGAGCACCGGGAGCTCATCAACAGCACCCAGGCGTGTAGGGTGCTGGTGGACCCCCGGGGCCCTTTTGCTGCCTGTCACCAGACTGTGGCCCCAGAACCCTTCCAGGAGTGAGTCAGGGGCCCAGAACACTGGGAACTCTCTTTCTCCTGGTCCTCCTGCTCCCGGTCTCTGACTTTCTCTGTTTGTCTCGCTTCTGTCTTCGTGGCTTCCATTCCCTGTGACACCCCCCACCCCCACACTGCCTGATGTCTTTCTGTTGGAGCTTTCAAGGCCTTGTGCTACAGGGCTGAGTGTTCTCTCCTCCTTCACCCTCAACTGTCCCTGCTGCTTCCCCAGGAACTGTACATTTGATCTGTGTGTCACCGGGGACCCCGAAGACCAGGAGGAGCTGCGCTGCCAGGTCCTCAGCGGGTACCCCATCACCTGCCAGGAGGCAGGCACTGCCCTGGCCAGCTGGCGGGACCACACCCACTGCGGTGAGGCCCTGACCTTCCCCGATGCTGGCCCCGGACGCCCCTCAGCCATTTCCGCCTTTGCCCAGCTCTGGGCCACCACCATTGCCCACACCTGGGGCTTCCCGCCTGGGTTCCCCATTTCTCGACTCTCACCACACCGGCGTCCTCCCAACCTGAGCGCTCTAGCTCTGCCAGGGAAGTGTCATCCCCACCCTGTCACCCATTTCGCTTCTTCTCACCAGTGCCCATCTTTGCTCCTCCCATTCTTTCACATGCTTTAATGTCACAGACGAAGACACACTCAGAACCGGCCCACTGTCTGGCTTCCTTGCTTATGCCGAGCTGTGTCCCGTGGGTGACCTTGCTCCCCCTCCAGCCCCACACATCCCCACACCAGTTCCAGCCTGACCACTCTGACTGTGACTCTGTCCCTTCAGCCTTGACGTGCCAATACAGTACCATCTACCAGAGCTGTGTGACACCCTGCTGCAACTCCTGTTCCAACCTGGCGGCCCCCAGGGACTGCGAGGGCCCCTGGGTGGAAGGCTGTGCCAGCCTCCCGGGCCACATCTGCAGTGCTGTCCAGAGCCTCCCCCTGGCCCTCTGTGGTGGCACCAACAATGGCATCTACTTCCAGGTCAGGGGGATGTGGGAGGCCCTGGGTGGTGGAGGTGTGGAGGGAGGAAAATGGGTCCTTCTTCTCCAGGCCCTTCTTTCCTCTCCAGAGGGGTGACAGCTTTGTGACTGAGAATTGCTCTCAGCGCCACACCCGTGCCAGCCCAGAGGTCCTGCTGAGTGATCCCCTCAGCTGCAGCACTGGGGGAATCTGCATCCTGGGGACCCTCACTCGTGGCTGCTTCCAAGGTGAGCCCAGACCTCCCCTTGGCTTTAAACTGCTTCCATACCCTAGGGGTCCTTGGACCGAAGACTGTCCCTCCAGTCCTACGTCTGGAACTCCTTCCCATTGATGCCCAGAATTTTGTGCCATTTAATTCCACTCCTCCTCCCTTAGCCCCTTCCTGTTTTGGGAAGGGCAGAAGTTAAGGACCTGATATGTCCTGCACATACGCTATCTGCTAGGTACCAGGCACTTAGCATCGCTCAGCACTTGGTAGCGAGTGTAGTCTCCCCATTTTATAGGTAAAAATAATGGAGTTCAGAGGCGAGCAGTTTCCCCTGAGCCTAGGGATAGTGAGTGCAGAGCCAGGAATGGAAGCTACTGCTTTATTTCCTGGGATCCTTGCTCCCGGCCCCCTTGCCCCACTGTGGGTGTCTCCCTAGGACCCCCCTCCACCCAATCCCCTTCATCCTTGTAGAAAGCCCAGGCCTGCAGAATCCCTACCAGAACGACGGGCACTGTCAGGAGCAGGGCGCCCACTTCCCCTGTGAGTGTGACCTTGATTATGGAGGAGACCTCTGCATGGAACTTTGGGACATGCAATCCCCGGAAAATCCGGGTAAGAACTTCATCCCAGGCCCTGCATCCTCAGTTCCTCCCCCACAAACAGCTGTCGCTGCTCCATGTATATAATGTTCGCATCTAATAGGCACTGCTATGTATTACAGACATATAACGGAGAGGTAACATACTACTAACATAACCTATATTATAGAAAATACAATATGGTCCCTAGAGATTTGGAGGATGGGGTTCTCAAAGTCCCTGTGCCTTTCTCCTGCTCACATTTCCTGGAATTTCTCTGAACCTCAACTCTCTTCTGAGGCCTATATGCCTCACCCCCCACTGTTATTCCCCATCTCCCATCACTCTAGGCCTCCCCACAACCTTTTATTGTTCTTTGTTGTCCCAAATTACAGTTCCCCTGAGCCTCTGGGCCAGTGGTTCTCCAACTTTATCTTACTTAAGATTGGGCGTTGTGGGGTAGGGCTGGGAGGAGCAACTTGTTTAACACACTCATTCTGGGACTCGTCCCTGGAGATTCTGATTAGGTAGGTCTGGAGTGGGCCCAGAAATCTGCATTTTTAACGAGCTCCCAGGTGGCTGAAGGAAGTGACTCCAGGATTCCTCTGTGAGAAACACTGGCTGATATGATACCCTGGACTCTCAGGATTAACTGGATGAGCATTCCCCTAAAAGGCTTATGGGAGTCGTGTCCCCAGAAACAGAGAGGGTTTGGAGCTGAGAGTGCGACATTAAGGCCTTGGAACCCCTGTGGCAATATCCTGCTGGAGAACCAGCCCCCACCAGGGATCTGGGGGGAGGTAGGCGCTTCAGGGTGGCAACCCAAGACCAAAGGGAGTGTCCCCTCCTCCACCCCTTCCCATTCCACTCCAGAGGTGGTGTGCCACTTTGTGGTCCCCCTGTTGGGGATGCTGGTGGCCATGGCAGTCCTAGTGCTGGCGGTGATCAGAAATTGTGTTTTCAAGAGGAGGAGGAGGAGGTGAGTTCTGGAAGGGGGGATGAAGAGGGGCAGCTGGGAGGTGAGTGAACGGAGAGTGGGCACTGATCCCCACCATCCATCCCCTAGAGAGAACATTTGGAGCCAGCACTCGCAGGCTGGCGGACACAGGTGAGAACCACCCCAGCACCCGGAACCTGGACCACCCACCGGGAGTCAGGGAGGCCTCTGATACAGGTTTTCTCGCTTTCTCCTCAGATTTTGTTCCCGAGCCTGCCTTTAAAGTCACTCCATTTTGAGTTGTTCTTAAAAAAGGAGATAAAATAAAGTTATTTATTTGGGGGATGTGAATTTCCACACAATCTTGGTGGAGGAAGGGCCTGTGAGGTGGGTCTTGGGGGGAGAAATATTGGAAGGAGACAGGTGTGGGAGGCACAGGGCTCAGTAACCCACAAAATGTCCAGAGAGGGGAGGTCTGAGCAGGTGAGGTCTGTCCCTTAGGCAAAGCCACAGTCTCTGGCTTCTGGGATGCAGGAGAAAAGATTGTATTTGTCATGTTTCCCCCCAAAGAGCCCTCCTCAGAGGGCTTGGCCCCTGAGCTTTCCTACCAGGGGCAGTGAAAAGTGGTCCTGAGGAGTCTGGCATTTCCAGCGATGAGATGACTTGCTTGGTGGAGGCCAAGACTGGGAACTGAGCCTTTTCCCAAAGGGTGACTCAGCCCGTGCCCCCCGAGGAGCGTCCTCCCCACTTCTGCACACATCCATTTCCCAAAAGGGCCGAAGGATTACTATGGCAACTGAGGGTGGGGTCTGAGGCCTCTGGCTAGGAGTCTTGAGTCCCATCCTAGGAGTGACACCCCCTCCCCAGCCTGAGGTCATGGGCTTCCCACCAGGCATGTCCTTGTTTGGGGGAGGGGGGTGGGACATTCTGCTTGGGCTCAGAGAAGAAAAAAAAAGCTCCCAGTTTGGGGAGGTTGGTCAGGATGTAGGACCCCAAGGGACAGGGGACTTGGGTTTGGGGCACCAAGGAAAGCAGGGTTCTGGAAAGTGTCCTTACTCTGTGCTCACACTCTGAGATGACCTGCTCTGTAGCCACATTCCTTCAAGGAAGCAAGACCTAACCTGGCCGGAGAGGGCTCTGGGGATGGAGGGGCGACCATGGCCAGGCCATCCTGCCCCTTAGCCGGGGCAAGCAGCGCATGCTCTTAGCTGGGTGTGGCAGGCACACTCAGGAACTCAGGAGCTGGGCTGTTTAACCAGGGTGTCACGGGGCTTCCTGCTGCACACCTACAGACCGTCACCTGGTCTTCAGCCCTTTGCCTGTTCTTCGGCTGTGCCCTGCTCCCTTGACCTACTCCTTCCCTGGCCAGATAAGGCCACCTTCTCTAGCCAGGTGTCTGGTTGTCAGGGGAAGGGGGGTGGCCTGGGCTGGCATCCTCCAGATAGGCCCTTTTCTAGACCCAGAACCCCTCCATCCTTGGCAGGACCGAGTCCCTTTCTCCCTTGGTGGTAAACATATGGACAGTATCTCTTCAAGTGAGGGGACTCCAGAAGAAGCTGCTCCAGGTGGGAAACTGGAGATGGGGTCACTGCCCAAGGCTCCCCGGGCTGGGAGAGGCAGAAGCTGTGATCATGACCCTGCCCCAACCCCACCACCACAACAGGGGTTAACAGAGAGGCAGAAATGACACGGCTGCTCCACTGGACAAAGCTGCCCTAGTCCAGACCTGCCCCTGCAGGTGTCCCTGAGGGCAGCTGGCTTAGGGGAAAGAACCGGAAGATAGCAGAGAAAAAACGAGGGGGATTGGCCCCATCATCTTCCTGTTTGGGAGGGAGAAGACACTAAGTAGTTTCCTGCTCCCCTTCGCAAAGGGATAGGAAAACCTGCCTGGGCAGCATCTGGAAAGGGGGAATTGTCCTGACCCTGCCCGCAGTCTGCTCACGAGCATGGGGGGGGCGGGTGTCTGTGCCCTCCACCCCGGCTCTCTGCACCTCCCCCACAGCCCGTGCAGACATTCTCCTCCCAGGCCTTTAAACCAACCCCAGCTGTCAACATCTGGCCCACATCTGTCTTCATCTGACTGGACCCCCATCCCAGTGGATTCCACCCCCGCCCCCCACACTACATGGGGCTGTAAAGCAGGACTATGAGCTCAAGGCCTCCTCTTTGCTTCAAACAAGCACCCTCCCAGGGCTAGGGAACCAGGGCAGGGGAGGAGGGGGCAGCCCCACCCCGGAGGTGCCCCAGGCTCTTGGCAGAACCATCTGGAGCCGTTAGAAGCAGCTGCTAATGACTCATCTACCACTGCCCCCCCCCACCTGAAACACACCCTGGGGTTGGGAACTAATCACCCAGGCCCACCACGGGCCCCTTCTCCAGACCTCCAGACCTGCCCCTCCACACACTCCACCTTCCTCAGAAGTCCATTCCATCCCCCCACTCCCAATCACCCCCAGAGCTGCAATACTTCCCATTTTCTTTTATTTATACAAAAAATTGTTTTAAATATAATTTAAGAACCCCTCCAAGAACCGGTGTCTGTCTCTGGTTTCCACCACAACCTCGCGGAAACCCCCCCCCCCCCCCACACACACACACGGACACAGCTTGCGGGTACTTGGAGGGGCTGGAAACAGCAGCGTACGGAGGCGCTGCTCTGAAAACAGACACAACGATGGGTCCCTGCTCCCGTGCGGGAACAGGAAGTGATAATGAACAGGTCCCTTCCAACCCAAAAACGTTATGACAAGGACGGTTAAAAAACCTACAACAACAAAACACACACACAAAAAAACAAACAAAAAACAAAAGAGAATAAGACCAAAACCAAAACTTAAAACTCAAAAACCTTCAATATGAAGGCAGCAGATGGGGGAGGGGCATTTACAAGGGAAAAGTGAGTACGGTGGCAACAGCAGCAAAGTTGGGACATCCAGTCCAGTGATTTCGTCACTGGGTCATGACACCCCTTCCTGCCTCCCACCTTGGTGCGCCACTCCCGAGCTTAAAGGCTTGTCACCCTCTTCTCTTTGGTCTGCGGCCCTTCAAGGTGAGGAGAGGCACCCTGGGGGCCCTACCTGGGGATCAAAGGGAGGCTGTAGGGATTGCACCCAATCACCCTGGAAAATCCTGAGGGAAGGGCTCCCACACCCTTGGCGGGGTTCCCCACCCGAGGGGCATGTTACTTTTATACTCACTCCCATATGGCAGAATCCCCAAATCCTGTCTCTCCAAATTGCCAGCTCCCTGCCCCCACAGGTTCAAAGTGCAATCCAATAGGGCATAGGGATGGGGGCCTCTTGGGTCCCCACCCAACTCTGCCCCAAAAAGAAGGGGAGCCGTGTCCCCAGCATGGGAATTCCTGCTGCTCCAGAGTTGTGGGGCCAGGCAAGGAGGCACAGGTCAGTACTGAGAGGCTGGTGTTCCTGACCCGCCTGGGACTCCAGGTTTGGCCTGGGACTTCATTTGCTGAACACTGGCCAGGATTTTCTTCTGGTGTCCTGCCAGAGTGACTCCTATTCGGAGCAGGTCCCTGGGAAAGAATAAAGAGCTAGGTGAAGCCATAGGGCTATTGGGACGGCTCTCCTAGCTTATAGCTGCTGAAACTTGGTCACCGCCTCAGGATTACCAGCCAATCAGGAAAACCATGGGGGGAGGGGACACACGTCAAAAGTTGCTCGGCAGTTTCCGGAGGATTTCGGAGCCAGGCCGCAGCGATTCTGCGCAGCCGCAGTTGGGGATAGGGAAAAGGGAAGGTCGAAAGGCAGGAGGTGGGGAAGTGGGATGGGGTCTCGGGGCTGGGACCTGGATGGATGCTCCTCTAAGGATTAAGGCAGAGAATCAGAGAAAGGGAGAAACGAGAAAAAGAAAGGCCCGCCAGATGAGGTTGGGGGAAGGGGATGCACAGATTGCTTTAGAGGTGAAAGGAGAAGTCAGAAAGAAAAGGCCAGAGAAAGAGAGGGGAAGGGCTGGGTGGAGAGGAAGGGGAGGGAGGGGTAAAACAAACTGCCTCCCCCTCCATTCTGAGGCCTGGAGACTAAGATAAGGGGAAAAAAAAAAAAAAAAAGAAGAGGTAGGAAATCAAGAGCAAGAACCTAGGTCAAGGAGGGGTTGGAGGAAGTTTGGGAGAGGGCCCAGGCCGGGTGGGGCAGACTGGCCCGTGACTGCCCTGCCAGGGAGAGGGACCTCCAGGACCCTCTGGTTCCAGATTTCTAGTCCTTCTGTTATTCAAATCTGGGGCCAGAAAAGTCCTGGGGAGAGAAGTGGGAAGGCAGAAAGACGTATCAGAGAGAGGCCAACTAGGGAAAAAACAGTATTTGGGAAGTGTCAGAATCATACAACCATTTAACATTAAAGCTGGAAAGGTTCTCCAAAACCTAGTCAAATCTTCTCCTTTTATGGGTGGGAAAACATCCAAAGTCGACACATTGTTAATGTGAGAGCAGGGTCTGGAATGTAGATAGATGCACAAAGATAGATACAGATTGCCAGGCAGGGAGCAAGATGCTCCAGGATTGAAATGGTGCAAGGGGGTGAGGCGGGCACAGTTGGCCTGGAAGACTCACTGGGCTCTCAGCTCCAGCAGCTGTTACTGCTTTTAGGGGGCCCTAGAAAAGTTGGCACCCGGAGTTGACCCCAAAGGCCCCTGCTGACCAGTGGGCTGGATTATGGTCCCCAGATGCTCCTCTGACTGCTTGGCTCTAACCCCCACTTCCAGTTCCTGCCATGACTTACTCAGCAGAGATCTGGCTGACCAGCTCGAAGGAGCCAAACCCAGCGGCTGCAAAACTTTCTTCGTATCTCCCCATCTTGATGGCTCGAAGCCACTCACCCACAGAGCCAAAAGCTGAGTAGTGAGGCTGCCGCTGATCCAGGAGTGGGTGTGAGGCCCTGGGAGACAAGGATGGGGAGGATGTGCTGAGTACCAGGATCATATCAGGAATGGCAGTGTTGAGTCCAGCCTTGGAGAGGCAGGCAGAGAAAATCCCATATACCCCCCCCCCCAAATGATGGGTAATTTGGGGGAGATTCTGGAGGGGTGGAGGTGGCAGCGTGCAGCAAGGAGGGCCCATTCTCAGGAGTCCTCACCCGCCATTCTCCCTGGCCACGATTTTGAGGCTAGCAGGGTTCCGGATCATCTTGTCGAGGGCACTGACCACCTGGGGGAAGCGGGGCCGTGCGTTCCGGTCCTTTTGCCAACAGTCCAGCATGAGCTGGTGCAGGGAAGTGGGGCAGTCTGGGGGAGGGGGGAGCCGGTAGTCCTGTTCGATGGCATTGATCACCTGGAATGACAGAAGCACTGGGTGAAGATGTCCAGGAAGAATGAGGATGCAAAGGATCCCA